GGAATTCTTCATCAAGAATCTGAATTCAACCAAGACGGTTCTTACAAATACAACTTTGAGAGCGAAGATGGAACTAAAGTTTCAGTAGTTGGATCAGTCAAAAATGTAAATAACGTAGATGTTCATGTAGCTGAAGGCTCGTATTCATACCATGGTGATGATGGTAAAGATGTTGTAGTCCAATACGTCGCCGATGAAAATGGGTATCGTCCACAAGGAGACAATATTCCAGCATCTATCCTGAAGCATTTGGAAGTTTTGGCAACAGCAAAACCACCCAAAGAAAATTAATTTTTTTATAATATATGAATACACACACAACTTGAATAAATATAGAATTTTGAACATTAAACTTTTTTTCATTGAATATTTGTTGACAAAACTCCTAAAATCATACCAATTTTCTATTAACATCCTGTTTCCTTATAAACAATATTAGTTTGAGCAAAAAGTTTAAAATTAATTATATATACCTATATGTCTTGAAGATATAATTAGTAAATAAATAACTTAACTTAAATGTTACAAATTATAATGATTTATGTTTGATTTGCATTATAGCCAGAAAAATTGTTAAGATTCATTATCACTTGAATTGTTTTTAACAACAACGCTCTTGCAAGTAAAACTTTCCTACGACGATTGAACAAATTTGGTAATTTCAAATATTACCCTAATAGTATTAGTAACATTGAAGATCTAACCAGATTTGTTTATTTATGTTACTTTCTGTGGTATAAAAATATTAAATATATTTTGTGTATTTATGTTAATTTTGAATAGCGTATTTCTGAATAAATCAAATACGAAATGAAAATATGTACACAATTATTTACAACTTGATATTAATCTTAAAAACCGAAAAAACCTTAATAATTTAATTTTATTAAATTCTATAACTTCACAAGTATACTTTTTCGTTTTCATTCGATTATACACGTTATTTATTTTAATTCATTTATATTTGATACATTAACTATAACTATTAGCTTTTCTCTATAATTTTGTATTTAATATTATAATAATATTGTTACTTTATAAATTTAAATATTAAAAAAAAATAGTAAAACATATATGCCATATATAACATTTTATCTAAATAATATAATGAATCTCACTAAATGTTAGTTTTATATTAGAATCCATGTTTTAATGAAAAAAATATGGTTTCATTCATTTTGTTTAATTTGCAAAAAGATTAGTAACAACTTTAATGTAATCTAAGTATAAAAACAAGGTGAATCTTTTTAAAATAAACACAACATGCAACAAATTCATGACAGTAATACTAATAAACCCATAAAGAAAAATATTTAAATAAATTACTAAAAACTGGTAGAGGAGATTGTAATCCAACGAGTAATTTTTTGGGTAAATTATCGAGCTATAAATATTACATACCTCTTTCGATTTGGTATCAGTTGTCCATCGACTAAAGCAACAAAATGTTCGCTAAAGTATTCATCCTCGTCGCCATCGCAGTTTACTTTGTAGCTGCTGAAGAAGTTGGCATCCTTCATCAAGAATCCGAAATCAACCATGACGGTTCTTACAAATACAATTTCGAAAGCGAAGATGGAACTAAGGTATCTCAAAGCGGATCACTGAAAACAGTCAACGACAAAGAAGTTCAAGTTGCTGAGGGTTCCTTCACTTACCAAGGAGACGACGGTAAAGAAGTTAAGGTACAATACGTAGCTGATGAGAACGGATACCGTCCAATTGGAGACAACATTCCCGCATCCATTGTGAAGAATTTGGAAGTTTTGGCTACGGCCAAACCACCAAAAGAACAATAAAACTTCATTTTATATTGATTTGATTCAATGCAAATGTTCAGTAAAATGATTACAATATAGAATTTACCTGATTTACACACGCATTCCAAAAATAAAAATAAAAAAATTGTATATAAAAAAGAATTTAATAAAAACTGTATATTCCACAGAAACTTTGAATAATTTCATTTTTTTAATACTGCAAATCCTACTGTTATTTCCTCATACATGCATTCATGACAGTAGGTTATGGCCGGTCATATTCTCAATTCAGGGTTGGAATGAAGTTGTCCAGCCTCAATTCGCCATAAACAATCTCGACTTGAGCTTATTCAAATGTGAAATACTCATCGTTTCACGTTCCCATTCTACATTCAAAAATTCCAAACGTCGCTCGGAATTTCAGCCTTGGAGCATCCTTACATATTTGCAGATTTATTATTAAGTCGTATTTGAAAATTATCTTTCCAAATATCCAAAAATTGCATTGTTATCTTGTTGATATTTATAATTAATCAAATACGTCATTTAACTATATGTACAAGGACAAGTATAACAGCAAAAAAATCACCAATTAAGAGCTCTGATTTGTTATATATACAAAAGCAATTGTATTAAATGGTAATTGGAGTAATTAAGTTTATAAATATCGCATTGAACCAGATGTAAAAACTGAGACAGACTCGTAAATCCGACAACGTTCTTGAAGGTTACTATTGCATTGCAGAAATCGTGAAAACTAAAGAATTCCATCGTCTTCTTTCCATGGTTAAGTTTAAAGTAAACAACTTTTAAAACTGAATGTGAAATACTGCAGCGTTTTGCAAACGTTTATTATATTAACCCGACCTTTATGATTTGATTCCCACTATTAATAGAAACAACTGTATTCTTTATACGCATTCAAATTGCAAAGTATTTAAATTTTTATTTTCCTGTTTTTGCATACTAGTAATTAATATTCTCGAAACATGAAGCAACTTTTTATAAAGCTAAAATATTTCATAAAACTATTTGAAATTAAAGCAAAAAGAACTTAATTTCTTAATATGATTGAATTTAATTTAATTATTTTACAATAAACATTTTATTTAATTAATATTCTGTAATTATATAGAAAATTATTCAATTTTTTATCTTTAACTACTAAATTTTGTACTTCTTTTTAATTATTTTTGTATACCCAGAGAAAAGTTTGATATTTAGAAAATAAGAACATTTTAATAAATTTCGATTTATTTTTGAATTAAAATTTAGTAAAATTAAATATATTATTCAAAAAACTGTTTTTAGTCAGTTTTAAGTCAAGATTACCAATAAATGTTTTAAATTAGTTGATTATTTTATATATAAAATATGTTTTCCCTAAAAATTCAAAATATATTAGTTTATGAATGTATCGAAGTGTAAAAATACTTGCAAAATAAATTTAGGAATTCTGTAGAATTGTATAACAGCAGTTATTGCGAAACGTTCATAAATGTTAGATAATAACGAGTAATAAAAAGAAAAGAGGCAACTCTATTTTTTTGTCTATCGTAGAGTATTACCGTTTCTTTTGGTAAAAACTGCATGGAGCGTTACGTAAATTTCTGAAATAAACACAATGGGACAAACAGATATTTACATCTGCAATCATTAAAGGCAATCGTTAATGACAATTTTATACAGCAGTTATAAAACATCAGAGAATATTTAAATGTCTGCATTATTCATTAAATCCAAATGTCATTTAGAGAGTTTGGTCGATGAATCCATTTGGGCGAGCCGAAGAAAACAAAAACTAATAAGAAAACAAAATTAAGCGATGATCAAGAAATTATTTATAAGATGACTACGCTATATTCGGGTGCAGGAAGAATATATAATTCAAGTTTCAAGGTTGACAATTTCAATGCACTTACGTGCGTTCGCTTAACGTACATTAAATGTAACTTTCTCCATCGAAACGAGAAGAAAATCGAAGAGAAGTAATTGGCCATGACACCTGAAGCAACGAAGATTCGAGAGAACAAAAAAAGAAAGAATATAATACATTCGATACGCGAAGCACGAAGAAGATGCATCGATATAATAAGAAAGCGAAACATCGATTGTCGTTGCGTAACGCATTTTCGTGCACATCGGTAAAACCATTAAAAAAAAAAACGAAATTCGAGTACCTGGAATTGGAATAGCAAGAAGTATTAATTAAGTATTTTGATCTATGCAAATATGGAGCGTAACAGGAAAAAAAATTGGAAAAGTTTGTTACGAAATTTGAGGTGTGATTTCATCTGAAATTCGGCTCGCAATTGAGAACAATAGAAGTTGTTATTAGAGCTCTCGAAACGGGCGAAAGAAGAATGATGCGAGAAAAAAATATTATTTGTTATTCAAATATTGGCACGAATCGTGGCAATTACACGTTCAGCAAAAGGTACAAATTAAGATGGCAACGAACATCCTGCAGTTTCGTAATGCCAATTGCAATTATTATGCTATAAACGTGTCGAACGGAAACGGCATTAAGATTCCGCGTCATTATCTCCGCAATCCTTCTCAACAACATGCAAAATGCATATTTTTTTGTTGTTGTATTTATTAACATTTGTGTTATATACACTCACTCGCTCATTTTTCACAGTTTCACTTTTAATCTTTTACCGAAATTTGCGAAATGAAGAAAAGAAAACACTCATCTCGGATCATCTGCTACAACGAAATGAATTTGTTTCGCAGTCGTTCTGACCTCAAACACTTTCGATTCTGATGCCTGATCTAAATTCTCCGTTTCGTGTTTTAACCGAAAGAAGATATAAAAAATATGACGAAATTAAGTTAACATTTTTATCTGTCTCATATTTTTCAAGGTAGCGCCATTTAGAACAAATTTAATGTATTCAAATATTCTAATATGCACTTTTATTTTACATTGAGTAAAATTTGAAATAATTTAAACATATAGAAAAAAATCAGGCAAACTAATATAAATAAAATATATAGGAATAAACATTGCATTACTACAATATTCTGAAAAAATGTAATCCGAAAATTCAAATAATATACATTAAAAATAGAAAACGTATTTCTATAATAATAAGAAAAGAAAACACAATTAGCTGTTACAAATACATTATTATATATATTCAGTTAAATCTAAATATAAATTACGTAAGTATTCATATAACCAACATTTTCATATAAATTAATCTGTTGGGGATGTAACATACAAATACATAAAATAAAAAATGATATAATATAATATTAAACTACACACGCATCGAAAGACACAAACATATGACAAACATAGCAGAGACAATATTCTATTAAAAAAAGGAAAAATTAATGCCCTTAAAACCATTAAGGTAAAAGAAATACAGGAATACGAAAATTATATACAAACACTATAAAAATTAAATAAAAAGATAAGAACAATCTTACATGCAATACCAACCCCAGGGAAAACGGACGACTGCTGCAGAAAAGTACAAATATTTTTTTGTTATTGTAACAAAATATGTAAAAAATATAAGCAATGCAAATAAAAGTTACTTTCATTATTTTTTCATCTGAAAATTAAATGTGTTATAAAAGTTTGGTATTTAAATGATGATAAAAAAATATGGAAATGATCGGAAGCAAAAAAAAAGTTGAGAGACAATCTAAACGTATCGAATGTTTAAGAAAAAAAAGATGTTATGCAAAAATGGAGTTTCGAAAAGAAAGTGAGAATATTAATAAACTATAATCAAAATCAGTTGGAGAGCAATAATGTATTATAATGTATAATTATTGTTGAAAATAACGTATATTAAATTATAATTACATTTTCTTTATATTTCTAATTATCCTTTTAAATATACCTATTATATATACTAATTTATTGTCTATTGTCATAAGTTAAATCATTTATATTAAATTTGACCTTTTGAAATATTCTAGTAAGATTTCATGTTTAAGAATATATTTTAAACCATAGAAAAAAATGTAATAAACATACATTGTTATTTACAGTGGAACCTCGCTTAACGAACACCTCGCATAATGAGCATTTCGATTAATGAGCAAAATTAATAGTAAGGAAAATGACTCGCTTAACGAGCGACGTTTCGTTACATATTATGTGTATTTTTGAGTATGTTTCACAATACGAGTATTTCACTATACGAGTAAATATCCGGAAATTTTGGAATGAATAAAAATGTATTCGAAATAAATTTTATATTCAAATATAGGATACTATAATATTATTTATATAATATTTTATATTGTAACCAACTTTATTTTTCAAGTAAAAATTGAGGATTCAGTGATAATTTATAATGCTTTAATAATTAGTAGTCTGGAATGAGGATGTATCTGTACTCTGATGCATTTAGTTGTAAATCAAGTTATCTCAATGCAAATATTTGCAGGACCTTAGCATTTAATTTATATAAGCATTTCGGACAGAATTTTACGGAAATTACGTAACGCAACAGTTACTGAACAATTATTTGATGGCTGCATGCCAAAACGAATGGCAATGCATAATTGTTAACTAAATATTGGCTATCGAAAGGTCTGTGCAATGATCGTCCAAGAAGAAGAAGAAGAAGACGCGATGCTCGGCATTCTTTATACCATATATTCTTTTTTCCGACGTCTTTTCGTATTCGTCTTCTTAATGTATCAAATTACGAAACTGTATCACAAAAACGATTATGAACCGGTGGATGGATCGAAGTGGTGTGGTTGGATCGGAGTAGAAGTGGTATAAATACAGAATTCACTGCACGTGTCTCTGTGTAATAGACGTGAACTCAGAACGGACGCACGCAGAGAGCAACATGAAGTTTTTGGTGAGTTCCCTCAATCAATCCATATATATTCCATTATTACTTAAGATCCTCATCATTTCGCGGGAAAAAGAGAGAGCGAACGAGAAAGAATGGAAGTCGGAAAAAAAAATAAAGGCGAAGAACACGAAGTTACCTTTCACTCTTCAGATGCTTCGGCCTCTGACATTTCGACGTTCGGGGGAAGAGTGAAAACGCGAACGGATTTCTTCGGTGTGGGAAGATGGGATGAGAATCAATTTGTGTGTTTTGTGCAATAAGCGAAAGCGCTCATATTTGACATTTAACTCTTCTATAAATATTGCTCTTTATGGTGTGTATTCAGCATATTTTAAGCGATAATTAATACAGGATATGTACCTATCTTTCACCTTGCCTTATGTAAATTTTGATTAAATGAACAACCAACGTCCGAATCGAAATTGTAATTCACGTTAATAATAAGTAAAAGCCGATCGAAATTAACTATTAGATAACGCACAGAAATCATTTTAGACGGCTCCGGGTTTCTCGTCTGACCGAACGTTACTATCACTCACATTTTCTCGACTCGGAACATTCTATTATTTAGTAAAATAGAAATAGATAAAAATGTATATTACATTAACAGTAAATCATACTTTAGCTGATAGTTTTTAAATGTTTTTCTATAATTGTATTCGCACTGCCAAACTCTTGATAATAAACCATTATCAATACCTCGTTATAACAATTTTACTTTAAACGTGTAAAATGAAATATTTTATAAGAGCTATTTCTTAAAAACAAGTATTTGAAACTGTTGCATAATAGAAATGCGAAGCTTTAACTGTATTAACCACTGTAGTTTCGAATACCAAAATAAACAACATCATCTTTATATAATGTTTCATATCATCAATTGAGTAATCAATATGTTTATGCTATATTAATGCACGGGTATTACATAAAAAATATCTTTAAATTTTCAATAGTAAATTGTTATTTCTTAACTTAAGTTATTTGTAAAATTAGATAGATTTGTGGTTGAGCACGTTCTTGCATTTTTTTTATTCAGTAAATTGGCATTCCGCAAACTAATCAACTATCAGCTTTCTCCAATCACGCGTGATTTATCTCTGCGAAATGATTTATTCCCAATTGGAATTTATAATTTAATTTTGACTGAGTGTACAAAAATGTTTAAATTTTAGAAATTTAACAAACGAATAGTGAATTAAACTTTTGATTTGTTTGTTGTTTTGTTGCATTGAAAACTGTAATTATATGTTTGTTTGTTTTTTTTATTGTAGATTGTAGCAACCGTTTTGTTCGGTGCCGCTTTGGCCCAACAACAGAGGCGCCAACCGGCCCAATACCAAGCTGATCAATACCAAGATGAGCAAAACCAAGATCAATTCCAAGGCAAGCAAGCCCAACAAGTCTACCAACAGGAATCCAAAGGCAGGCACGAATCCACCACATTCATCCCAATTATCCGTTTCGATAAAGAACAAGGAAACGACGGCAGCTACAAATCATCGTAAGTTGTGCTCATTCAACAAGGAAATCGATAAAAATTACGACCGGTTTCTTCTTTAAAAGGCAACTGGGTGTAACGAGATAAACTATCTACTTTTGTCAAGACTTTTTCTCTTCAATGAGTGTGTTATATAAACGCTGATTAATTGATTTTTTTGCAGTTGGGAAACTGGTAACAACATTTTGGCCCAAGAGGAAGGTTTCTTGAAGAACTTGGGACCAAACCCTGAAGATCCAGGTGAAGACTTGAACGCCCAAGTCCAACAAGGATCTTACTCTTACACCTCCCCCGAAGGTCAACTCATCACTGTCACCTACACCGCTGACGAGAAAGGTTTCCACGCCACCGGTGACCATTTGCCAACCCCACCACCAGTCAGCCCAGAAGTACAAAAGGGACTCGACCTCATCTACGCCGGAATCAAGGCCCAACAGGTTTGTTGTCAACATGTTTTAAAGAATTACATAATACTTATAAAATATTCTTTCAATTTTAGGAAGCCGCTGAACGCGATGCCGCCAACCCACAATTGAGAAGGGAAAACCAAATCCCACAAGACCACAACGGCCAATACCGCCAATAAGTCAAGTTTCTTTTTTATTTACACTCTTTCCTATGTCTATGAAATTCTTATAATTAACGTGATCACTTTTCGAGGCTTACTAAATCCATCTAGTTTACTTCTTTACACTAAGCCTTTATAGACTGACAATCACACGTGTGAAAATAAAAGTAGAAAACACCTGGTTTCGAATGGAAACTATTTTTTTGAACTGTGTAGATAATGAACTTTATTTTGTACAATTGAATTTTACTATAATACTTTTTTATGGAATACACTGATTGATTTCTGTAACTAATTGAGTTTTATTTTATCTTCGAGATCCCTTTGTTCCTACTAATATTAACATTTTATTAGAAAATCGAAAGTTTGATTTTCTTAAAATAAAACTTTATGATTAAAAATTGTTCTAACACTAAATTGGTAGGCAACCATACTAGCAAAACATAATAATTTAATTAAAATTAATACAAAAAATAAATACATTCATTGATAATCACATTAAGTAAGTATAAACAAATATGTTTACATAATTTGGTTTCATTATTTTCTGAAATACTATTATCAAACTGAAAAAACGTTCATAACTAATTCCCTTCCTTCATTATTGCAATAATGAAATTTTAGCAAGAAATACTTTTATTTGTTTTAATAAGTTTTTAATCACGAAATGTATATCGTATTTTAATTACTTTCAATTATCTAAAGCAACAAATGTAAAAGTGAATTAATTTAAAATTTATAGACGGTAGATAATCAACATTTATTTAGCACATTATGAATATTATGTAAAATTCATGTGACATGACAAATAATTATAGTGAAATTTGAATTTGTAGAACAAAAAAAACGTAAGTAACGAAATTAAAAATACGTAGTACAAATACAGGTAAACGTCGTTTTGCGCCGGTTCGATTTACGCCGATACACAATAACGCCGCTGTGAGATAACGCTTATTAATTGCTGATTTTACACTTATATAGAACTAAACCCTATAGTTAACTCACTGTAAATATGGGTTTATTTTACGCAGATTGCGACGGCTTTTGTAGGAACTGAACCCCGGCGTAAAACGACGTTTAACTGTATTTCCATTTTCGACAGGAAATAATCAGTTCAACAATTGAATACTGTAATTTCAATTATATTAGATATACAATTAATTATATATTATGAAATCCTTAATTTATTAAATTTTGACAAAATATTGATATACAGTCAATCCGATAACATTCAATGCGTGGAGGGCCCTAATAAAAACTTGCTTAGGGTCCTCAAATACTAAAACTTACTAAATTTTAGGGCAAACGACTTTTTCAATGTGGTCCTCCGAGATCCGACATTCCACGTTCTCGTCATCAATTGTTTCACTGTTATTTAGGACTCTATGATATTCTCTATTTCAAATCAAGTGTAGCCTCAAATAAAAATTTGCTAGTTGCTAACAAATTTTGAGTATGTAGACTAGTGATTCCCAAAGTGGTCTATATCGACCCCCAGGGGTCTATGACAACCTGCAAGGAGTCTACGTCAGCGAAAAAAAAATTTTGGGGGTCCATGAAATGAAAATGGGGGTCCACGACAGTGGATCTCAACATACACTGATAGTACCTATTTACTTACATTATACTATCTTATAATATAAAGACATACATTATTTATAAAAGTACCCATAAAGTAAAAAAAAATATTATATATGTTTATAAAATTGTGTAAGTTGTAGGATGTAGACATTCGCTTTGTGGTCGCAATACTTTTTAAACTTGTAAAAACCTGGAATATAGTCATACCTAGTGGAACGGGGGTTCAGCGCTGTTACCAATCTCCTAACGAAAAAAAGAAACAGACTGTACATTATTAGCCGAGGAGATTTAGGATTAAACCTTACAAAATTGACGCCAAATGATGATAATTTATTATTAAAGCATCAGCTTCATCCTTCTCACTAAAAACATTTATTTAGTGCTTAGTTTATTTTATGTTACGTATATTTTATATAACAGATACAAAATTTTATTTAGAGTAGTTTTAATGTAAATTCAATTAATTAATGTATAAAACTTAACATGTGTTTTTACTTTAAGCACTAAACTTCATTACAGTTAGAAATTTACAAAAAAATCAATATCAGGTAAGTAGGGGGTCTACCCAAAACCGAAAAACATGGCAAGGGGTCTACGACACAAATAAGTTTGGGAACCTCTGATCTAGACATTGAAGTTTTCAAAGGAGCTGCATCCGCTGCAGTAGGTTTCCTGGGAGGAATCTTTGAAGGGTGAGGTAAGGACCAAGACACTTGGAGCATTTGGACAATCAGTGGCGGTATTAAAAAAGAATCCCTTATGTAATAGCATCTAGAAAGAAGCCGCTTGTCCAGTTATTATTAAAATTTTGAAAGTTTTCTGATAATTATGCATTATTAATATTTAAAAATAAACCTCCTCAGCGGGGATTCGAACCCCGGTCTCCCACGATCGTTTTATGTGGGGATACTAACCACTATACTACCGAGGATATATGTTTATTTCTATATTATTTATTATTAACAATAAGCATACATTATTTGACAATGAAATAAACAAAATTAGTATAAAAATTTAAAAAGAATCCTCGCCGGCAGGGAATCGAACCACGGTACTATAAAAGAAACTATAATGTAACAGCATCTAAAAAGAAGTCGCTTGTCTAGTTATTATTAATTTTTTTCTGATAATAACGCATTAATATTTAAAAATAAACCTCCTCAGCGGGAAATCAAACCCCGGTCTCCCAACATTTCTGGTATTTGCGGATACTAACCACTATACTACCGAGGATATATCTTTATTTCTATATTATTTATGATTAACAATAAGCATACATTATACGACAATGAAATAAGCGAAATTATTATAAAAAATTTAAAAAAATCTTCGCCGGCGGGGAATCGAACCACGGTACAATAAAAGAATCCTTCATGTAAGAGCATTTAGAAAGAAGTCGCTTGACCAGTAATTATTAAAAATTTTAAAGTTTTCTGATAATGACGTATTATTAATATTTAATAAAAAACTCCTCAGCGGGGAATCGAACCCCGGTCTCCCAACAAATATTTTGTATACGGGGATACTGACCACTATACTACCGAGGATATAGGCTTCAATTTATATTATTTATGATTAACAGTCAGCATACGTTATACAACAATGAAATAAGCGAAATTATTATAATAATTTAAAAAAAAATCCTCCCCGGCGGGGAATCGAACCCCGGTCTCCCGCGTGACAGGCGGGGATACTGACCACTATACTACCGAGGACTTATAGGTTGTTATATACAGAGGTTGTAATTATATAGAGCGACGAATTCTAATTTTTAATTATTAATTTTTAATAGTTAAAATTCATATTTATTTTGAATATTCCCATGAAATATTAAAGTTTAACAGATTCTCAGATTCTCGTTAATATATAGAATTTTTTACATTGTTTACATAACCTCTAATAGCCGTGATCGTCTAGTGGTTAGGACCCTACGTTGTGGCCGTAGTAACCCAGGTTCGAATCCTGGTCACGGCAATGTGTAAACATTGTCACGGTAGAGGAATATTTTTGTTTCTTTTTGAATATATTATAATTATTGAAGAAAAGAATATTTCATTCTAATTTTACATATTTCTTAGTGTTATTATTTTTCAAAATAAAATATAATATTAAAATTAAGAAAATATATTTTTTAATTACTTTTGAATTAAATTAATTCTTGATAATTAATGTATAATTAATATTACTTTATATATTATTAAATAAAGTAAAAACAAATTATAGAGTAACTTAAGTTGCCGATACTATTCATTTATGAAACCAATATAAAAATAAACTATTCACTAACAACATTAATTATTGTAATATTTCTTATGAAATAGAATTAATTAATTTTGTATATTTGTAGTGCTTTTACAACTGTAGTTCTTTGAGAGGGTGAACAAAAAATATAAAGCAGTAGAAAGTTGAGAAAGGTATTGAATGAGGATGTTCTTTAATTTTATAAACTAAAACAGTGAACGTGTTGAAAATAATAGAATGCAGGGTTAGTCGAGTTAGAAAGTGAAATAGAATTTAAGTTCTTAAAATATTATACAAATAACAAGTAATAAATCTGTCGCCAACTTATTATTTTACATTCACACCTTCAATAAAATGTCTTTATATATATTATTATATACAATAATAAATTGTAAATGTCAGAAATGCTTTAATGTCACCATAGTGATTTAAATACCTCGCAGAACGAGCATTTCGTTAAATAAGTAAAATGAATTGTAAGAAAAATGAATCGGTTAACAGTTTGAATGTCACTACGCTCCGTAATAATTTAAAATTGTTATTGTAGACATTTTCGATATAGTCCGGATTTTGATACAGTCGGAATTATGGTTGTCGGTATTTTAATATAGTCAAGATTTTGATACAGTCAGGATTTTGATATAGTCGGGATTATGTTTTTCGGAATTTCGTTACAGTCGGGATTTTGAAAGTCGGGAATTTGATTGACGGTATTTCGGTTGTCCAGTTTGCGATTGCTAACGGTGTACACATATTATGTGTATTTTTTAATATGTTTCACTATACGAGTATTTCACAATACGAGAAACAATCCGGAAATTTTGGAAAGGATTAAACTCGTAAAACGAGGTTCCACTGTACTTAAATTTCATTTATTTTACAGACTATGTATCAAATTTGATTATATTTGATTTCCAGGCTGTTTGAATGAAAATCAAAAAGTTTCTTTTTGTATATGTATATGTTATTTCTTTAAATTAACATCAATTTGATATGCTTTCAGTTTAAAATATCTAAATTGTATTTTGAAATATTTATGGATGCTGCATTAAATTAAGATTCGAAATCTATTTTTTGGTTATAAATTTACTACATGTCATAGATAAGTGTTTGTAAATGATGCTTTTAGAAGAACAAATATTGTAGTATTTCTTCATATATAGTATTTCTTCTTATATAATCTTTGCATAATAGTTGTGCAATTGAATTGTTTGGATGTATAAATTTGTTTTAATATATCATTTGCATTCTGAATAAAAATTTGTTAACTCTTTGAGGAGCGATAGTATAAGATGGTACATTATCTTTTGAACATGCCTACTGGGGTATTATTATAATTTTCTAGGGAATGTCCAGGAAAGAGGAATTATCCTCTAATTTGATTGGTATATCAAAGGATGAATTTTGATAATTCATACTATCTAATATTAATTCAGTTGACCTCTGATTCAGCGGTCTAGAAATCTAAAAATTCTGACCCCTGACGAGTTAAAAAGACGGTCAAAGATTCAGAAAAAAAATATTAGAATATATTTTTTATATAAATATTAAAATAAATTGTTTATTTTTTTTTAATTTACTTACTTTAATAAATAAAAAATATTATTAAAAAATATTTTTGTATTGCATGACCAAATCAAGAATATATTTATGTTAAGTAATTAAAATTGTTATATAAACCGTTATTAATTTTGTATTTGTATTATTATATTTTATGGATGGATGCGAAGTTCGTTAACGTTTCGTAACATATATCAATAAAATAGTAATCCATCAAACTTACGATTGAAACGTTTAAAATAAATATTGTTATTAAAGTTTCGCAATAAAAAAATATGACGATATTATAAACTGTATAGTTATATAACTTTCAGCGGAATCCGTGTACGTATGCACGTTATTATAGATAATCTTGAGCTAATCCATAATTTGATCATGTAAACGGTAATGAATGTACGCACATGCACGTACTTGCTACAAAGCTGTAAACTCTTTGCGATGAATGCAAATTTTCAGTTTTCGACATTTCGCGTTTATTTTTAGATTGTATTAATGTGCGAGTACAATTAAATATTTATTTGCGTTGAATAATGACATCCTTGACATTAAAGTGTAGAAGAAGTTGCACGTCGCGGTTTTCCGATAATTGCACAAATTGCCTGACAATTGATTGATCGAGTTGCGCCATGCTTCGAACATAGAGCATTAGCGCTTCCAGTTGTCCGGCTCACGCAATTCGACAGAACTCAAATTCAACTGAAATCCAAAATCAATTTGGCTAAAGGTTAACGACGCGTATTCCTCATGCGAAAGCGTAATAATAAATGTCACTTTGAGGTGTTGAGGTGCCTCCGGTGGTATTTCAAAGAATGAACGAATCATCCCGTCTCGATTCTATAAGATGAATCGGGTTCAAAGCCTAATCACCTATTGAACAATGTTCGAAATCCCGCCAGCCGCCGATTATATAATTCCCGGTTGTGGCGGCGTGCTAAAAAAGACAATAACGTCCTTTGTGCGCTCAGATGAGGTCACAATAAATATCGGAATACAGCGGATTCCGCGGTGGAACTCATAAATATATTGGTGAAGAGTGCAACTGCTTTGGAGGAAGGCGCAATGGTGTGGAGAAAGCGGCTGTTGCAAAACCCGCACACAGCATCCCAATCCCATCTCATCCCATCCTCTTAAACAAAGTTCATAATCATACACTAAATTTGTTGTTTCGAATTGCCACCGCTCGTAACAAACGACTGCTCGATCCATTCGACATTTTCATTTTCAAGCGACGTTCAATTACTCAGGTTTAATAAACCTTGTAATCATTCGCTAATTACGACACATTTTGAATTACTGATAAATCACCGAAAACGCTGCCGGCTATTGTTTGCGCATAACGCAATCTGACCGTTGTTTACACAATTTATATACCATCTATATACAAGAATAAATTGAGACCTTTTATCAACAGATCGTTCAATTAAAAGCAATTAGTTTCGGACAGTTCCAAATACTAAAAATTATCATAACCTAACTGTTTTATAACATATTGTTGGATATTTAATGTAATACAATAACATACATAAATATATTACTAATGATCTTTAACTTACCAAAATTCAATTTCTGGTTACAAATCATACCTGAGTGTATTATATTCACAAATCTATTTTCTAGGACAAATTGTTTTTGGTAAACTTTCCAATGGAAATTATTACCATTATTTTCTTCTCTTTAATTTATTGATTGACTGTCGTCTTGTAGGTTAACTTCAGTAGTATATTGATGCTCTGCAAATCAACTATTCCCATTGATTCCCATCGATTTGGCTGATGCAGAACTTCATTCATTTGACTGTGCATTTATGATGATAAACGATGGCCCTATTGCTGCAACCACCGAGGGAGCTCACTAGGGGCCTGGCATGGCCAGGATTCGATCCGGCGTTCGCGGGACCGTGAATAGGGCTTAATCATTCGGCCATCAGTCGGCCTCTTTGCAGTTATATGAAATGCATTTGCACTGTCACTGACATGACATTAGAACAGTAAAAAATATTAATACATTTATGTTAATATCTGAAATATATGTTATTATTTCACATAATCATTTGACACACGAAATGCGATACTTAGAATGAACTTATATAAAGCGTATATATATAAGTTATCTTGAATAACCAAAGTATTTTAAATTAGTCATATGGCCGTCTTTACTACAAAATCCGGAATATGCTGAGTATGAAATTCTTACCAAATCCAAAATACAAATGTGATCCTAATCATTAATATAGTTAATAAAAATCAAAAACCAACGTTTTTTTGCTACGTTTTTACAATTAATTTTCTATTGTCATGACTATCAAATACTTTTTCTTGGCTAGATAAAGTCGTGTTAAGAGCAACAGTTCATTTAAGTTTCCTGTTTCCTGAAATTGTATTTCTTTATATATTAGGTCATCTTTTATTTTACAAATTGTAAAATCCTTTAAATTTATATATTTCTTTCTATAAAGTATTTGAAATATCAATAAAATTTTAACAAGATAATACTCAATTATTGTTATATTATTAACGAATTGCGTGAATCAACTACCATAAGACAAATTGATTTACTGTATATATTATAATAAGTATATCCTTGGTGGAGCTAATGATGATGGATCGGAAAAAATAAAGACAACTGAAAGGTTATCAAATAAATTATTATAGAAAACGATGCGAAAACCAATATATTTTCAAGGCTTACAATACAAATGAAAAAAAAAAACAAAAAATATTTTGTAATTTAATATTATTGCGTATAATATTTTAATCCTCTATATTCTTGAATATTATGAACAAATGTTTTAAAATAAACTACTACTTATGTAATTTGTTGCAAATAATTTTAATAAAAAAAAACAATAATATTTTAATAATTCATTAAGAGGTGACTATAACTAAATGCTTAAATGTTAGAAAAGATGTTTTCATAAAAGAAATAAACGTTTTCTTAGAGTAATTAAATACAACCTTTACACAATAACTTTAATCAAAGAAAATATACACTTGCCTCATAAATCATAAAGTTTCTTTTAATAAAAATAGAAATTAACCTCGAGTTCAAAGTTTATACTATTAATTGCTATTAATATTATACACTATTTTTTATAGTTTTCTATAATAACATTTGTTTTTTAACTCTTGCATTTTGTACGACTTCAAATTTTGTCACATATTTTATGTTAGATGAATTATTGTATTATAATAAGTAATTATGGAAATTAAGTGAACTATTGACGCGTTAAAATCATAAACAATGCTTTATTACATTTATGTGTCCTACGTTTGAGTTATTCGACATTTACAATCGGCAGTCTCCAGATGTATGAAGTAATATATTAAAAAAATGAAAAACGTATAATTGCAAGTTGAAATTAACAATAATTCGTAATGAGTCTTTTACGTAATTTTTAGCGGACAGAAAAAGCAGCTCATGCACAGGTATTACTTTTTGGTCGTGATTAGCTAATCACGACAAGCTTACACAATGAATATATTAATAAGCAATTAAAAGTTGAATAAAACAAACGTCAATCATTTTCATAATGATTTCCACATCCTTAAAAACAATATATATCTTTAGACAAAGAGTTGACGTTTGTTGAATAATTAATATTTGACAGCTTCAGAAAGTTAAGCAAATATTCTTTCTAATGGGTGACCAGTGTTATTTTAAAAATTTAGTCTTAAGATTATAAAATAATAAATTTGTTTATAATCAATTGGGATAAAAAAAATATAACAATTTTTCATTTTATTTGTTAAAAATTAAAAAAAAAATACTTATGTAGTAGAAAAACTGATCTAAAGATATAAGAAAATAGAGTTTAAAGCAGTTGACAGTTTACATTGCTAATGGGTGATATATTATACCAAATAAAGAATCTTATTTATTTTTTATAATCAATTAAGATTGTAACATTTAATCATAAATTAATTAATTATCTAAAAAAATATAAATATTGAGAATTAAAACAATGGATTAAAGAAATTATTTAATTATTATTTACAAAATGAATTAATTAAACGTTGGAAATATAAGAAAATAAAACTGCTGACATTATTGACTATAGAAAACCTATTGAATTTTTTTCTCCTAAGTCGTCTTAACATACTGACATTTAATATGTGGGGAAGTAGGACCTAACGCATGTTATGACCCGTTTAGAAGAATTTTATACCTATTATACCGTTTGATTAAGATTGTCTTTCTTGCACAATTATAATTCTGCAATATTCATAATTGAATTATGAAAATTGATTGAATCTGTTGACGAAATATGAGAAATATTGTTTGTTTTATGTAATAAATTAACGATACGTGCGGTTATATACAGTTTCATAAATATATGATCGTATCTTTATTGTTCTGTAATAAGAAGTCACCTCCGGGTCAAAGGCATTTCGGAGAAAGAAGAAATTCTTACTTAAATGTCACATGAGTATATTTCAGTAAAAAATGGAAGTAAACTGTTTTTTTTTTGTTAAAATTTTATTTTAAATAGAAATACTTGAATAATGTTAAACTAATTATATATTTGTGAATTTGTGAATTTTCTTAAGTACATAGAGTTCTAATTAAATTTGAATTTTACTATATTATAAACTTAAATATAATTTATATTCTTTTATTTTGTGAATTTACACAATTTTTGTTAGTAAATAAAATTTAGGTAAAATTAAGATTGAAATTGAATATCATAATAAATTTAGAAAATTTCATTGTATTAATATTCTATCCAATTATGATTGACTTAAATTGATTGAAATTTCTATCCAGAAATGATTGTATAATAACTGTCACCTAATTATGTTCTTCGCAATTACCGATTTTTCGTTTGAAGCTTGGAAATAACAATTATGTTCGATGGATGAACAATGGGGCGTTAGGTTGAATAATTAAAGTGTGTGTCTTTCATCTTCTATAATAACAATTGAAGCAGATTCTTGTGATGTCTTCGCGCTATCCGAAAGGTAAGGGGATCCACAGAGATGTGTCGTTGTGCCGGCACGTGAATTTCGACACGACAAGACGAAAAGTTCACATGTGCAATCATCATCATCATCAACAACATCGTTGATCCTCCGCCACAATGGGATGCTGCATGAGCTGATGGGTAATGTGGATGAAGTAGGGATTACTCGGCCCGGCCACAACTATAAATAACAAATTTTCATCCGGATAGGGTTAGTTCTATCATCAGTTGTGAATTACAGTGCGACCAAACAACATCATGAAATTGGTATGTACAGCCATAGAATCTTAAGAAACACAAAATTATACGACGTGATAATTACAATTAGTCAGTGATAATTACGTACAATTACAAAGCCTGGATAATCGAATGGAATTAATTAGAATTGCGTTTTAAAAATCACGTAATTACAATCAATGCACATATATAATCATGTCTTAATTTGTTAAATGCAAAATATATTTCAATAATAACATTATTTATTCGATTAAAAATATGTTAAATTTCTAGAACTTAAAACAAAATTTCTGATAAAACTTATAAAATGAGTTAATTAAGTTTATGAGTTTTTTTCGAAATGTAACATGTAATTAATATTAACGCAAAATTAATTATTTTGTTCGATTTTGATGAATCTATGTAGAATAATACTTGATTAATTTAATAGGAATTAAACTGTTAATTTTAGATTTAGTATTAAATTTATTTATTAATGAGTTAACGTAAAAATTAATTAAAAATAATAAAATTAAAGTTATTACAAAACTGCTGTCACTTTTCCGTTCATTCATGATTTCCTTCAAAACTTTTAATTTTAATTTAAATGCAAGATTAATTATTTTATTCGATTTTGATGAATCTAATAAAACTTGATTTCATATCTTAAGAATTCAGAAGTTAATTTATTAATTTACACGTCTTGGATTAAATTCATCTATTAATGAGTAAAACGTGTATAAAACAAAATAGATTTAAAAACAATCAAACTGAAGTTACTACAATGATGCCTGTCTGTCACTTGCAACTCATTCATGATTTCTTCCGAAATGTCAACATGTAATTATAATTTACGCAAGATTAATTATTTTATTGAATTTTGTAATATCTATATGAAATAATACTCGATACATTTCCAAGTTAATTTATACATTTACACACTTTCTCTCTTAACGACAAACCTTTATTATTACTTATATTTTAGCTTATGTATTGTCATATCACTTTCCTTTCAATTTTTTATTTACTTTTAATGTATTTACACCTCTTAATAGCATTGCGTTAAGTAACTATTGTTATTTGTTTGACAACACTTACGTTTATATTACGTTGTAAATATATACGAGTTAAAGCTTAAAGTTATATTATTTATCAATTAGATTTTATCATAATTATGTAATTCTGTAGCTATAAATTTTAATATAATTGTTTCATATAGAGCAATGATTATAAAATTTACTTAAAAATAATGTTGTTATTTATTTGCGTTAAATATTTTCAATTATATTTAAAAAAAAAAGGCCTAGTTTTAACCAATATCAGTAATCTACATTGGATACATCTAATAGCAGGAAAAGATCAAAAGTTTGAGAATTCTAAATTAGTGTAAACTAAGGAAACAATAATCATGAAAATTTAAACCAGAAGAGATACAAAGAACAAAGTTTCCAATGAAAAGTCTAAAACGTACTTAAGTAAACTGAAAGTAAGCAAGAGTACCGTTCTGAGAAACCATATTTTGCACACTATTTTTATTTAAATATTACATTATCAAATTATTATCTTATTATTTTATTTTAATTATAATTGTTAAATACAAATTCTTAATACATAAGAATATTTAAAAATGTTCTTAATTTATTAGAAATTATTCTTCCTAAATGAACACATCAATGAAATAAAACACTCAATTACTAAGTTTATAATGTATTAATTATAAAAACAATTATTGTTTCAGATTATTTTACTATCCCATAAAAAAACAATGATAATTTGTTTTTAGTTTACACATCAATCTGTATAATTAAGACTGAAAAACAATCAATTTAAATTAGTTTAACTGTGTATTTTTTTCTACAGAAAAATATAATTAACACGTCGTACATTACTTCAATTATCACTTCAACTGCTGTTTAATTATTCAGTAATTATCCTCATTGTTCCATGATATATCTTATATAATTACTAATTACATTTATACACTGATTTTTATCGTAAAATCAAACACGTTATTCATAATATCTAAAAATTGATGTTATTAAATGAAATAGTTTATTAATCATCAAAGAACTTCGAATTTTATCTATAAAAGTAAATATTAAATAATAATTTTCTTGTAACAGTTAAAACTATCGGCGTACTTTCGAATATTAATAAAAAATGTTAATTATAAAATAAGCAATTGCGTAATATGTTCAATTATGTATTCATGATTCATTTAATAATTTGTTGACCGCAAATCAAAGCCGCATTAACGAGAGAAGATCCTGATGCAATTATAATTATTAATATTCGTTACTTCATAAAGAATTCCGTGAAAGGAAATTTATTTGACTATCTCAAAAAATATATAAATAAATAACCAAAATACATATTAATTCCGCATCACGCGCATATACTTGCGACAATACGCAAATAAATCGTGTTGCGTAATGCAATTACGCGTCAATCTCTTCTACGATCAATCGAGTGAGAGGTTTATGAAATATTGGAAGTAAAATCTACATGACATTTAACAAGAAATGGATGGTTTCGTGTGTGAACAAAGTTTTTTTTATTATTATTTATATACAATTTGTACACTATTTATTATACATTTTTATTATTATTTTCTTTATGTGTATGCCCGTCAGGTTCTGTTCTTTCAGTACACTCCTTGGAACCAGAGCGGGCTTATTGGTTTTCCATGTTCTATGTCTTTGTTTCGTGACCCTGCATCTAACACATCATTTTTATTTTGAACTTCTTTATGTCATTTTCTATTCTTATTTCCTCTGGAACCATGTTGTACTGTGCAACGCCCTGTACCATCAAACTCCTGTTCATTATGTTAGTTGTATTTCGTTCCATTCTTATATTTCTTCTAGCTTTCTTCTTTAGTTGAATGAAATTTTTTGAATTTGAAGGTCTCAGGCAATTTTTAATTTATGGGTCTCTTCAAATTTGAATTTAGGGACGTTGGGCCCGGTTTCAGCGAATAATTGTTAATCATGAAATACACTGTACTTTAATGAAATATTTTTTACTTATTCCAGATTATTCTGTCCGTGTTGGCTTTAGTAGCTTTAACTAAAGCCCAACAGCAACCTCACGGAGATCCTATTCCTATCATTCGTTATGAAAATGAAGGAGTCAACCCGGATGGATCTTACAAATGGCTGTTAGTTATTTAATTATGTTCCAATATCATTTTTTTTAATGTTAATTTTTTCAGTTATGAAACCGGAAATGGTATCAACGCTCAGGAAGAAGGTCAGGTTAAGAATTTGGGAAATCCAGAAACTGAAGCTATGCAAGCTCAGGGATCGTACTCGTACCAAGCACCTGATGGAACAAACATCGCCATCCAGTACATCGCAAACGAAGAAGGTTTCCAACCGCAAGGAGATCATCTTCCAACTCCTCCACCAATCCCAGCTGCCATCATGCGCGCACTCGAATGGAACGCCGCTCATCCTGAAGAAGAGCAAGCTGGAGCCGCTTCAAACCAACAGCCCGTCTATAAAACTAACAACAGGAGATTTTAAACATCGACAAGTATCAAATAGTTATAGAACGCCTACGTTAAGATAAAAAACATGTTTTTTTTATATTATTTTGTATATACAAGTACTTTTAATAAATTGTAAAATAGATAGACTTCATTAATTAACAAATACACAATAATTGAATGGATTGCTATATGTCATTATGATTAACATTTTACATGGGATTTTGTTATTAGCAATAGTCATATGTCTAATATTTTTATAAATTATTTTATATAAAATACAAATTTAGAAACCATCTATTTTTAATTAACTAAATTTCCTTATTTTTCCCTAGTTCATTTCCATTATTATAAAACTAGTATATAAACGTATCTTAGCTTACTTGTGGAATAATTTCCATAACAAATTTATATAAACTAATCAATTTTTAATTTAAAATATTCTTTAATGGATTTAAATACAAGTTTTGTGAGTTATAACGAATGTAGAGACCTGATGTATACAGCAAATTGTTGGATGTAAGAGTGAGAGTGCTTATGGCTTCGGATGTAGAAAATGTATAATATAAAAGTGACGAAACAACTCTGAACTATTTCCAACAAGAAAGCATTATGTAACTTGGGCTGCATATACTCATTAGAGTAAACTATTAGAATATTTATTGACTAACTAATATTGTTAAAATTATATACAAATACATCAATATCTCACATAATACAGATTCGATTAGTTTGATTTCACTATAGTCCGATTTCATTATATTTTTTGAAAAAAAAATTGATCAAGTTTCTTCTTGTGCGGTATTTAGTTTACTAAAGTGTAAATAATTATATGTTTGGTATGCTCATTGGTATTTTTCTTGAACAAATAATTTGTATAATTTAAATATTTTTTAAGTAATGCGATTAATTTCTTATTTAACATTTATTACGTATTTTTTTACTCGTATAGCGAAACATATTCAAAAATACACTAATATGTGTACACAAGTTTTAAAAATGATGTAGAAGGCGCGAAATCAGGGACATCTCTTCCCATCGTCACTCGTTATGCGAAACTTCGCTCGTTAAGAGAGTCATTTTTTAATTCATTTTGCTCGCTAAGTGAAATGCTTGATATGCGAGGTGCTCGTTAAGCAAGGTTCCACTTTATATGAAAGTATATCAATATATTTATAATTTATTAAATTGATCTTCAAAATCTTCAATACTAACGAGATTGAAATATAAACATTAAATAGGATTAATACAGTGATAGTTTCTATATAGTTTCCGCATTGTAAAAACTAAATTTATTTTGCTTATGACAGTTCGTTAAATGTCAAATAATAATCAAAAACAATGAACGTTTTATTACAGTAAGTTAATAAATGCACGTAAACTCATTACTTTTATAATCTTTAGTATAAGGAAATTGCACAATAGAGCAGTTATTTTATTTCACTTCTACATAACAATAGAAAATAAATCAATATTGATGCGAAAAAGTTTTGCACAATCATAACAGAAATCGATAAATAATTTTATAAAATTTATTTTGTACGTCTTCCGTTTACGCACTCGACATGGACAGCAGCAATAGGAAGAATATCTGGAGAAAGTTCAAACAATAAAATCCAATTAATAGAATTGTATGAGCCAGAGCAAACGCACGAAGATATTCAATTTAGATTTGCAGAATCTTGGATTTGCTTTCTTTAAGATCTTTCATAGGCTGGATGAAAACAAAAGCATAGTAATGTATTTAGAATTCCAGGGTTCATTTGTATGCAGTGAAAATGATTTATGTAACTTTTTTTTTCGGGACGCTTGAATTCGCGCATTATTATCAGAAGCAATTAGTTTTCATTGGTTGCGCTTAATTACAAATAGAGAAAAAAATAATGACGCGAACCTCTTTCGTTTCTAATTGCAAAATATTAGCAGGCAATGGTTATAATAATTGAATAACACTTGGAGGAATTTAAGTACATTCCATGAATTGTTATTGCTTTATGATCTTTCCGAAATTGTAGAATTTATTGTTAAATGTTTTTGTGCCACATTTTGTAATAACTAATTATATAAAATACATTCATGTTTATATAGTAATAATGATTGAAAAAAATTATATTTACACAATTAAATCTGATAAAACAAGATTGGATACACGAAATATTATTTGATTGACTTACAAAATTTCTTGATTTTACTCTTTATTTCTTCACAACATATATTGGTGAAGCTAAATTATGTTAGATTAAATTGTGTTAAATAGAATAAGATTGAGTTAAATTAACTTAACTCTTTGAAGCACTGAATTAAAATGAAAATGTCGACGGATATTTATTCTCTGCATACCAGTATTTTAAAAGGTTGAATAAAGTTAGAAGATTTTAATTGTATAGTTGTCTTACAGTGAATCAAAAATCTTATTTCACATATGGTATAAATACACGATTTCCTAGCTACAAAAGAAGATTAGGTTAAGTTCAATTAACCTCAATTCACTTTAAAATAATTTTTATTCAGAAAAACTTGCTTCTTTTTACAAAAAAAAATAGGATTGTTTTCTAAATGATAGTTTAGCAATATAAACAATATAGCAAATAATACACAAATAATTTACTTAGTTTATGTAAGCTTAGATTGATATATACCTAATTTAAGTTTATTTAATTACATTCAATGAAAATTATATAACATTTATCGTGTTATTTGTGTTTAATTATGTTACAATAAATAAAACATGAACAAATTTTGTTAATATTAATACATTTTATAACAAAATCAACAGATACATGCATAATAGTTCATCAACAAGAATATGTGATTTTGACAGTTAAAGAATGTACATATATTTCTTTTGTAATATTGATATGTTACAGGAAAATATTATTTCCGTTGATTTCTTATGAGAAAGTGTATCTGGACAATAATATAAAAAAATTCTACACATGTCGTAAACTTACTAATCATTCAGCAAGATGTGTTTAATTTGAAATCAAACCTAATCTAATGAGAGTCGCTCAGTTAGCGGTCAAGTTGAATGGGGCAAAAGAAACTGGACTGGTCAGGCCTAATGGCCACAGAGAATAGAGACGGAAATCGATGGTGCGATCCAACGGAAGCGCAAGAAGAGGGTTTCGTATATAAGGAGACTCGCAAACTTCAAATGATATCAAAAACAACCAACTTCTCACAGCCAAAGCAGCTCCAACACATAACAAATAAAATGTCTAAATTTGTAAGTAAAATAACAATTAAATCTATAACACTAATAATAAATACTATAAAATCTTGTGTATAATATTTATACTTATTTTAAATAGTCAAAATAGGGGTGAGTATTAAGAAAAACGTCATTTTCAATTCATTTTATTAAATAAATATAATCACAATATAATTAATTCTTCTAATATCAAATTTAAACACAAATATAACTAATATTTAAATTATTTACTTCTTCGTTTCTATTGAAATATAATTATTATTTGGCAGAAATCAGATAAACCTATTGCCCAAATGGGGAAAATTAATGTTAATTTAACTTTTATCTAATTATGGTGATGAAGATGAATATTGACATGTTTCTTTTAAAAAGTTCAAGATTTGTTATGAACCGTTTTATGTAATTTAAAATAAAGTTATGAAAAGTTATAGATGCGTATTATATACGAAATTTATCTCAATTTAGCGCGTTAACTAAATCGAGCGTGCGTATTGGATAAGAGTGCGTATAATTTTAAATATATTGTTTTTATTGTATTTATAGTGCATCTTGGCTGCTGCTTTTGCTCTGGTTTCCTGTTGCTTGGCAAATCCGATTGGCGATTACCATGGTTACCATGAAATCCAGGACACTGAACACAAGAAGCAGATACCAATCCTGAAACAGGACTTTGAGCAGCACCACGAAGGATATCAATTCAGGTATTAAAATTCAATTGTTTCAGAGTAACTCATTAAACTATGTTTTGAACAAGTGAAAATGTAAATGTAATTAAAGCCATTTGGTCGGTGTCGATTTTGAAGAAAGAAAGTCTTGGGCTTGCGAAGCGTTTGCTTTCTCGGCATCTGCAGGGTATCAAAAATGCGCGTAGAAAGTGCTCAGTTCTATATATATTATTTTTTTACTTCTAATTGTATCATTTATGCAATCGAATGCATTTATTAGCGATGCAGCCATTCCCGTTTAAATAGTTTTATTCTTATATCAGTTTCTTCCGCGTTTTATTTTATTCACGGTTTCACAAAGTACAAAAGAAAATGTTTCCATTCGGAATTGATCGGTCATTTATACCGCAATTGCAGTTACGAGACGGGCAATGGGATTTCCCGGCAGGAGCAGGGATACATTAAGAACAAGGGTGACAAGAAGCACGAGACTTTAGTGCAGCAAGGATCCATCACTTACCATGATGAGCATGGTCATCCAATCACTCTCACCTACATCGCCGACGAACACGGTTTCCAACCACAAGGATCTCATCTGCCGACTCCACCTCCAATTCCAGCTGAAATCGCCAAAGCTCTTGAGGAAAAAGCCCATCAATCCTACCAGCAACCGTCGCAAGATGACTACCAACATCAATATGAGCATTACTAATATTTAAATTATCAGAGTGCATGTATATATATATAGTCAATTCTTTTATATTAATTAAACTGTCACTCGCCCAGTCATTAAACCATTGTTATTACATAAAAATTGTTAAAAATTAAATTAAATTTGTTATTAATTAAGTTGCGTGTATAATCGAATAAATATAATTATTTTAATGTATTCTATAACTTTATTTTTCTAATATTAAATAATAATCTTCAATTGATTTATTAAAAAAAAATGGAATTTGAAATCGTCTTATGGCTTCTTTCTTTTAAAATAAGTAAAAAAAATAAAATCGGATCTTCAACAAAAAGCAAATTATATCAATAATACGGTTTATGCCTAATTTTACACAAAATCTAATGGGACAAAAAAGAGCTAGGAACTAATTATTAACGACAAAATCCATTTCTTATTTATTGTATTAAAGTGGAAATATTAGAACTATAAAGATAATTTCTAATAAATTGTAATTCTTTTAAAATTTACCTATGTATAAAAAGATCATTGAACATTTTAGAAAATAAGTTTTATTCACATAAATATGAATTATAAGGATTTATGAATTAAGTTAATAAAAAAAATGCAACTTTTTCACCCAAAATATAATCAAATAAGTAGTAATAACTAATAATTACATATGAGCGTCAAACATCTGGAAATGCCTACTTTATTGGGCTTTCTCTTTAACAACCTTTCGCAACAGTTTGGTGCTTAAGTATTATTCATGGAAGCATATGCTGTGAAAACAAGCTCCTACTTTTCGAAATTAGATTTAAGTAAAAATAGTAATAAAACAAAATAAGCAGTAAGAACATTGAATTCCACTTGAAAGAAGAGAATATGAAATCTTTCGTTAAAAGTGTAGTTTAATTTTACAATATATAAAATTACAAATATTAATTAATAAAACTACATAAACTGATAAGTAAATATGTATTTTTTTTTTATAAATGTAATCATTTTTTCATTATCAATAAAAATATTTAAATTGACTCCAATTCAAAACAACTAAGTCCAAAATAAAATCCAGATTCCGTCATTTCAGTTCCCTGACCTTCCGTACTTCCAAAATATTCATCTAATGTTAAACATCCATAAATCAATTTGCCGTCCAATCTTTTCTTCCGGTTCACGTCCTAAAAAATCTGTCCGTATCCGAACGTTCTGCCCTTCGCATCTTTACCAAAATTTGAAATCGTTATTACTACAACCCTCCTAGTGATCTGCTTTACTCTAAATCTAAGATTGTTCCTCTCCTTAACAGATTCCTTCCTTTTTCCTTAAATTCAGTTTTAAAGATTTCAATAATTCTTCTCTTTCTCGTGTACTTTATTCCATTTCATTATGCCCTTATAATCATGTCCCTTTTACAATGGCTGTTTTTTTAAATTTTGATTAGTTTTTTTACTTTGTTATTGTTATGTTATATTTAAAATTCACTTGTTTTAAAATTTGCATCGATTCATTTATTTAAATGTATACATTTTAACAATTAGTAAAGGCAGAAGGACTTTAGTCTATGAAAAATGTAGTGAAATTAGTACTCAAATACTTTTAATAACCATAAATAAAGAAAACATAAATTTGCTCAAAAAATATATATTTATTAAATTCAGTTCATTTATNTTTTTATAAGCTTGGAATGTGTTCGCCAGTTGGTCTGTAACCATTTTCGTCGGCGATGTAAGTAACAGTGTATGTAACTCCATCCGCACCAACGTAAGAATACGATCCGCTCACCACCAAAGACTCATCTTTAGCTCCGGCATTCTTCAATTCAGCCTTTTCCTCCCTCTGAACCCCATCGCTTGTTTGATAACTACAATTAAAACAGTAATTACTACCCTTAATTAACTAATGAATTTAATTAATTACGCAAAGTTGTATCCATTAGCAGCGTTTATAAAATCATTTTGCAGAATCGTCGCGGTTTTAGATGAATCTGGCTGAGGAGATCTGAAGGGTGATGGCGGCAAAGCGTAACAGATCGTAACAAAACACAGTACTAAGATTTCCTGAAATAACAACAATAAAAATCAATATATTATATGAAAAAAAAACACATTTCATAATTAAATTAATCATTATTAATTAAAAAGCTGTACTTACGGTTTTCATTGCGATTTATTAAAGTTGTTTTTTGCAGAGCACGAAATGATCTGTATTGATGTATGTGAATTTGGATTGTGATAAATCCGTAACGGAGATTTTGCCTTAAATAGTGCCGAATGCCGAACGGAAATCCTGGGCGGCTTGGTTTGGGCCGTCATTGTTTTCGTAAATCCTTTCGACACTTTCATCAAAACACTGAACCCCCATTTGCATATAATGTATTGTTATTAATTCGAAATACAAGCGGCATTTTGTAACAAGAACAACAACAAAAAAACTCGGTTCGCTAACTGTGAATCTGCGAATATTAATTTTGATACAATTACTAAACTTCAGTTTAAATATTTTTATTACAATTTTTATTGTTGTTTTGCATTTACAAAGCAATTACTTTCTCAGATGCTTTAATAAAATTAATATTAATTAATGAGAGGAAAGACCTATAGTTTGCTTGAAATAATAAGTGTGTAATGAAAGAAAAAATAATAATTTATAATAATATTCATTCAATATGGAAACGAAATTATTTCAATATTTATGTTATTTGTACTTTTTAGTTTTTGGATAAAAATTTCGGATAAAAATTAATATTCAGTGAAGGTTAAAATATTCTTAAGTAAATTAGACCCAATTTGTGTTGAGATTACTTTCATTTGTGAGCAGAAGTCATATGATATGAATTGTTGGTAGCATCGTCTAATTTAAAGCTACTAAAGTAAGAATATAACAAGTGATAATTTGTATTTCACATTCATAAGTTACGCATATTTAATAACTCAAAGTTGCATAGTTTTGTATTAATAATTGATAATATGTATACGTATGTTACAAAGGGAAATTTAAATATGGGATGATAACATGGGTAAACGTGGGAGAAATGCGATGGTTGGAACACGAAGGTTTGTTTTGGTAGTATTTATATCTAGACGTTACATGTGGAACCAGTATAATAGCCGAATGGTTAAGCACGATTTCGTGAGCGCCGATTCGAATCCTGGTCAAGCCAGGCCTTTTGTGGGCCCTCTCGGTGCTTGTAGCAATAGGGCCATCATTCATCATAAATGGATGAGGTTCAGCATATGGACCTTCAGCCAAGTTGATGGACAATGACAGTGTTAAGGATAACAGCAGATTCTTAAACTGCTTTATTTATATTACTTTAATGCATTGATTAAGCTCGTGTATAGAAGTAAAAAAAACATATACTAATTTTCTTATGCATCATTGTTTTGATATAATTGAATTTGAAAAAAATATTTCAATTGAATTTTTTTTAAATTTATTTATATACACAATTTATACATCAACTATATACATTTTTATTATACTTTACAATATTGTTGCTCCTCAGCTTCAGTTCTTTCGGCACGTTCCTTAGAACTGGTGTTGTGAGTGAACTTGTTATTTGTTTTCTATTTTACTAACTGCGACTTTGTAAATGGTTCATTATCTTACATTACTTTTACCTCTTTAACTCATATAAAATCTTTATTTTCTAACAAAAAATTTCTATAATATTTATCATTATTTTATTCATAATCATAACAGAATATTTATAAAAATTATTAATTTATTTTATTAACGCTCTTTATACACAATATATATATTTTTCAATAAAACGTAAACTTTTTATCTGATTCCGTTTCCGATCAGTGAAATTAATAAATTAGGAGGCGCAGCGAAAGGAGGACCAGTTGGTGTCTTATGTCCAATAGTAATAGATGATTTTGGAAAAGATGGATGGAAGCCGTTTTCATCGGCTGTATACACCACAATGTAAGTTTTACCATCGTCTTTAATGTAAGAGTATGAACCCATGACTTTAATAAATTCATCATCACGACCCTCATTCACGATCTCTCCAGTTTCTTCCTTTTTGATACCATCATCAGATTCAAAACTATAAAAAAATATTAATATAACAATTGATAATTTATATATTATATTAATAACTTACGCATATTTATAACCTGCTCCAAGATACATTGTGTTGTATTCGTATTTGATGATTTTGGATGTCACCTGAGGATTTGGAATACCCTCAGCAATTGCTAATATTAGCAATAGAATATTTACCTTAAAACCATTATTAATTAATATGTTTCATCCATATATTGAGAAACAATTCGTACAATATTTGTAAAGATGAATTAAAGAAACAATAAATAATTTGAAAAATCTCTAATTTTTATAAGTTGAAATGATATATATTGAAACCATATACAAACAATATTACGAGCAAACAATCAAATGTATTATATGTATACCTGTTCCAAAAAATCTTATAAAAATAACTTAAAAATTGTAAATTACTCTTCATTTTATAATGGAAATAATTATTTGTTACTTTTTATAATTTTAAATAATAATAAATTAAGTAATTTCTTATAGAAATTTTCTATTATTCATGTCAATGTTAAAGGTGTTTACCTTCATGTTGCTGCAGTGTACGCTTACAAATATTTACAAACTGTGTCTTCTCACTACATGAATCCTTTTATATGCACACTAAACCTATACTACTCAATTATACAATCGATGTAGAAAATACAAACAAAATTACGTAATGATTCTTTGTAATAATAAATATAAAACTGTTTTGAACGATATATTTAGATTTACGCAATATTTATTTATAAACATTTTGAAATTATATTCAAATATAAAAAAATCAAAATATTCTAGTCTTACTGTTTTAGTAAGTTTTTAATACATTTATTTATTTTTTATTATTTTTAATAATAACATAATTGTATAAATTGTAATTGTAATACTTTAGTTATACATACGTTTAAAAAAAAAGTACCAACAATTCAAAATTTTGTATGTAATGTTAGTTACTGGAATAACAATGAGGATATACAGATTTTTTCTGTACAATTAGTTGAACATTTCAGTAGAATAAAATGTAATTTTATTTATTTAATAAGGACTTAGTATTGAAAGACTAGTTCGTTAATGTCTTAAACTCTTATAAAATATTTATTTTTACAACAACAATTTTCTATAATATTAATATTCATTACAAAATTGTTATATTTTTCTTTTTATGATTTTTAATTTCTAATAAAGCGATTAAATAATATTATGTAATCAACCAGTTCGTCTGGGTCACTTTATGAATGAAAATTGTAAGTATTAAAAGTAAAGAACACATTCGTAAAGTATTCTGTAATTTAGTGAAAGTCTACAAATGTTTTTTATTGGTAATAATAGATATTAACAAATGTACAGAAGTTAATAATATAATCATCCAATTATGGTACGATAATATTAATTCTTTGACACAATAGATTTCAACTAATAAAGATGTCAACATTTTTTAAATTATTTTTAATAAAGAATCTCAAATTATTAAATTTTTAAGTAGTTATAAGTTTAATGCGATGGGCACAAAATAATATTATATACGCTTTTATGAATTTATGATAAGACTACATAGACTCTTATGTCATAGAGGAATCAAAAGATTTTTTCTGATAAAATCGTATGACTCAAAAATTGTGAATAAATTATTATTTTCAATTGATTTAATTAAAGTAAAATAGTTTAATAAGTTTTTCTTTTCTACGAAAGCCATCGCAAATCGAATCGGCGTAAAATGATCCATTATTTATAGGGTTAGTTCTATATAAGTGTAAAATCTACAATTAATAATCGTTATTTCGCTGCGTAAATTGAACCGGCGCAAAGCGAAGTTTTATTTTTTCTATAAAATGTTCTATTAATTATATTATGTTGGAGCTTACCTTCATTCTACAGTAGTGTTCGTTTACAAATATATAAAAATTGTGTCTTTTCACTATAAGAATCCTTTTATATGCACACTAAATGTATCTCACTCAATTACACAATATACCATCTAAAAAGCAATAATGTAGAAAAAAAATTACATAATCATTTAAATCTATTTGATAAAACTATATAAGTACTTTGTAATAATAAATGTAAAACTGTTTTGAATGATAGCTATAGATTTGCGCAATTTTTCTTTATAGATACGCTGATTTATTCAAATATGAAGAAATTTTTTTATAAATATTATTTTTCTGTATTAATATCTTTAATAATATCTTATTAATACTAATGTCAATAGTTGCACATAAATGAATACGTTTTTTTAAGACAAATAAAACAAATTTTTTTTAAAAAGGCTACTATTTAATAATTAATTTCAGCATTTTGAATTATTAATATAATATACTGAATAATGCTGGTTGTAAACTTACAAAAAAAGGTAACAGCAATTTAAAAAAATTGTATGAAATTTTACAGTCACTAGAATAACAATGAGGAATAGAAGATATACTGCATTTTTTATGTAAAATTAGTTGAACATTTGGAATAATGAACATTTGTTTTGATGAATGCAGTTATTAACTATTACATACCTATTATTTAAAGTCAATATTAGGTTGTATTATTTATTTTAAAATAACAATTATTGATTTTATTAATATTCAAAATAAAAACAAAATTGGTGTTGAAATTATGAATTTATTTTACGCTCTTTATATACAATATGTTTTTTTTTATTTTCTTTAATTTATCTTCTGATGCCGCCACCGATTAGTGAAAATAATAATTCAACAGGTGCACTATCAGGATGTGGTATATTACTTTTACCTAGTCCCGATGGTTTGGGAAAATATGGATGGAAGCCGTTCTCATCAGCAGTATATGTAACCAAGTATGTTTTACCATCATCACCTATGTAAGAGTATGAACCAATGACTTTAATAAATTGATCATCACGTCCCTCATTTACGATCTCTGCAGTTTCTTCCTTTTCGATACCATCCTCAGACTCAAAACTACAAAAATTTTAATATAAGAATTGATAATTTATACTTTACATTCATAACTTACGTATATGTATAACCTCCTCCAAGGTACATAGTGTTGTATTCGTAGTTGATGATTTTGGAAGTCGCCTGAGGATTTGGCATACCTTCAGCAATTCCTAATAGTACCAATAACAAAATTGCCTTAAAAATATTAATTAATATATTTTAATAGAAGATTTCGTTGACAAGTAAAAAAAAGTAGTATTATTTTCAGCTATATTATCTTAAATTAGCAATGTGAAACATATTGAAGCTTACCTTCATGTTGCAACGATTTCTGTTTATATAAATTTACAAACTGTTATTTTTTTTTCACTGCAAAAAATCTTTTATATCTACACCGAACCCATCCCACTCTATTACATAATACATTATTTTCATAAGAAATTCAAAAGATAGTATTTTTCGTAACTACATATCACTGATAGTTATATTTGATGAAATTGAAGTTTTATTTTATATTCTTGTAAAATCTTTATTTTAGTAACTTTTTTTTGTTAATATTAATATTTATGATTTTAAAAAAGTTAAATATATAAGAAATTATATTTATTATTATATTACTATATACATTTTGTGTTTTTATATTTCTAAATTTACAAAAAAATTCAAATGTGTATAATTTGTTTTATTTTCCGATCCCACCACCAATTAACGAATTTAGTATTGCAGGTGAGGCAAAACTTATGCTCATTGCAAAAGGTTTTGGTGGTGATGGATGGAAGCCGTTCTCATCGGCTGTATACACCACCATGTACATTTTACCATCGTCTCCTATGTAAGAGTATGAACCCGTGACTTTAATAAATTGATCATCACGACCCTCGTTCACGATCTCTCCGGTTTCTTCCTTTTTGATACCATCATCAGACTCAAACCTACAAAAAATAATAATATAATAATGGATAATTTATATTTTACATTCAACTAACGCATATTTATAACCTCCTCCAAGATACATTGTGTTGTATTCGTAGTTGATAATTTTCGAATTCGCCTCAGGTTTTGGCATACCATTAACAATTGTTAATAGTACTAATAGCAAAATTACCTAAACAACCAATAATAATCAGTAAAATATATTGATTCTAAACACTATTGTTTTTATAATTTCCTGTTTATATATTACGCTATAACAGTCTTTTTTAATTATAAATTGTTATAGAATTTGGTTTAAATATATAAATTTAACTTTAATTAATATAAAGAAATATGGAAAATAATCAAATCAAAAGAGAACAATTTCATCTTAAAGAAATATATTAAAAGGTGAAGACACTTTCTTGGAGCTCCTTTTTTAATTACCAAATTTAACAGTTTATAAAAAAAGAACGATATATACCACTTATTTAATTATAGGCTCATCGGAAAGGCCATAGTTTTATCTTAATATTAAATATGGCATGCGTTGTTATATAGTAAATAAAATATGAAAGGATAAAATAATCGATGTCAATAATAGACATTTCGAAACTGAAGCTCAGGAGGATTCAAGAATTTACATTTAGATCAGTTGCTAAGATGCCGACACTCGCCCTCACTATATCACCTACTTAACTGGAATCTAGACAGTAAAGATGTGTTTTTTGACTGTTTTTTTTATCTAGTTATATAAATGTTTCTTGTTTTAGATAATGATACATCATTAATTTTAATAGTGTATTACATCATAGGGATTTGTTTTGTTTTGGGAATAACCAACCGGAACCAATTATAACAATACGATAGAAAATATAGTGGGTGAAGAAAAGAAAAAGAATAATTCATGAGGACAGGAACGAATGACTACACCACCCTTACCAATTTCACGTTCACACACATAGAGATACGTGCAACTCCAACACCCCAGTCAAACTTGACCTTTCAATCCCTGAAGCAAATATATTAAGGAAAAGTCTAATAATTTTTCAATGAAACTATTGCATAATTCATAAAATTTATTAATTTTATTATTTTAAATCAAGATTCGAAAAGTAAATATGTTAAGTTACTGTAACCTCGTGACATTATTGAATGGATTTGATTACAGTTTCAACAACTTAAAGAATCACGCAACAGTCAGAAAAGTATTTTGTAAGATATGAATATACCTACCTACATTCTTAAGCAACGTCGTTTAAATAATGAGAATAAACCGCTTGGTAAACTCATGAAAATGATTTATTGTTATTCTCATAAAAAAAAATGAAAATAAAAACGTACTTTTGTTTTACTCTTTATAAATTTAAAATAGCTGTTATATTTGTCTTCATAATATAAAGCAATACCTCACATAGTCCGGCTTCGATCAGTCCGGATTTTCTATAATCTTGCTTAAAAATTTCAAAACAATCTAAATTTTAATTAAGCAAACTAAAATTAATTTCTAATATGTAGGTACACATCATTACTTTTTTTTATAAACAAATGATTGATTCATTTTATGATCATTAATTTTATTGCGGAACCGATTACTATATGAATTCGATCGATAAGATAAATTAATTTTGTAATATTTATTATATTAATAATTTTGATGTTAAAGATAATCGAACTTACCACTTTCATTGTTGTATGTTTATACAAATTCGCAAACTGAGATTTTCTCACAACATGAATCAACTTATATGCACAGAGAGCACATCCCACTCAAATACATAATACACTATTTAGATGTAATGCTTTATTGGATAATCCAATAACTCTTTGAAGAAACTTTCATACACAAACAATAGCAATCTATATATAAAAAAACATATATATAATATTTGTCACGTAATAATAAAAGTATATGAAAGTCTTATACGTTATTGCTCTTCAATATTTCTTTATAAATTTGATATTTAAATAATTAACAAAGGTTTACTAACAATGTTGAAAAGTCGAATGAATTTAGTCATAAGTTATTATTTATATTGCTTTTGAACAATTCAATATAATAAACATAAAATTTAATACAATCACACAATAATTAATCATAAATGTTCAATTGTTAATATATAAAATTATGAAATTTTCATGTAAATTATTAATTTCCTAAATATCACTACAATTATATTAAAGAAGCACATAGAAAACAGACATTTGTATACTGCTTTACAGAAACACTAGAATGTTAATGATGATCTGAAGAGATATACTGTTTTTTTTTGCAATGAATGCAAGAATCGTGATTGGTGGAACAGCGGCGGAGTGTAAAATAAATTGTTTTGGTTTTATAGATAAAATAACGTTATTATATAATAATTTAGAAAAAAAAAAGTTTAAATAATTAATATATATTGTTTACATACTTAAATATTACTTTCAATAATCATGATTTTTTTCAAATGAACTTACCTTTTTATTCTTAATATCGATACGCCTCTGATCTAAACTAAAACCAGTATATAGGAAAATGCCAACACACTAAATGTACTTCTCAAATTAAATGGCAAGCATCCTGTCTAAAGGTTAATCAATTTAAAGAAGTAACACGTAAAGAAGATGTCTATTTTTAGCTTTAGCTTAAATAATAATTATCAATTTTATGCATTTAGCATTGATTTTAAATTAATTAGTGTATGACTGTTCCCAGAAATATTATTATTATTAATAATTGTCAATAAAGATAATGGAAATATAGCTTAACGAGCGACGTTTCGCAAAACGAGTGACGATGAGAAGTCTTGGATTGTGCGTCTGCTACATCATTTTTAAAACTTGTGTACACATATTATGTGTATTTTTGAGTATGTTTCACTATACGATTGAATCAAACGAGGTTCCACTGTACTGGAATTAATTGATATAGGTAATAAAATTAGTAATGAATTGCGGGCAGAATTTGGGCTTTAATTGCATTTTTGGCTAAAAAATATGTTTATAAAAATAAAATATGCCAATTGATGATAATTAAAAAGAATTTATAAGATGTGGCTCGTTACATAATTATTTTCCAATTCCTCCTCCGGAAAGTGAATTCAGCACAGTCCTTGGAATTCCGCCTCGAAGAAAGACCGGCGGGGCACGTATATTGACCCCCGCTGATTGTGGTAAATGATTCCCGGATGGATGGAAACCGTCTTTGTCGGCCGTATATTCTACAGAGTAAAGACGACCGTCATCTCCGACGTAGGAGTATGAACCCGTTACTATCAGATGCTCATCCGCAAAACCTTTATTCACTACTTCGGCCTCTTCTTCTTTAATCGTACCATCATCAAATTTAAACCTACAATTAGATAGATTAATAGAATTGCAGATAATCTCGATTTCTATAGTGAAATTATTTTCACATCATACATATCTAGTAAAATTAAGTTAAATGGTTATGCAAATGTATGTTAGGTTTATTAACAATTATGTAAATATATTAGAAAAGTGTTACCAATTTCAATTTCAATTTTCATCTGAGATTAGGAATTAACATTTAACTCATAATTCTTGATTTCATGAGTGATATTATTTTCCAAAATTAATCCAAGCAAAATTAAGTTTAATAATTAAATAATGATGCAACCTTACTATTCGCTACATAATAACAGTTAGTACGTCTGAAATTAGAAATTAGTATAGTATTTTCAATAAATTTTATTGAAAAATTAAATTTTTTTATTTAAAAGGATCGAGGGATTAAGTGTTCTTAACTATGTTAATTTGTTAATTGAAAAGTCTATTAGTTGTTTTTTTTTAAGCATTATATTTATTATCTACAATTTGCAACTATACTTACGAATATTTATAACCACCTCCAACTTCCTTGCTGTTTGACATATCAACAAGTTTTGGATTATATTTTGCATTAGTACTAGCTAAAGCTAATATAAACAAAACTAAAATTCCCTAAATATAAATAATAACGTTTATTGCAACAATCACAAAATGTAAACAAAAATAAATACGTATTTATAATTCATATTATAACTATAAACTTAATTAAAGGGTTGATTATAGCATTTTCAGCATTTTTTAAAATTTTATTATATTTTCGCATAAATTAAAGTTGTAATTAAACTTGTTTGTTGTTTCTTTATTAATAAATATTTGTTGCATAAAATACAAATAAAACGCAGATAATTTAAGAGTTTTTGAACTTTATATTCATTTTAACAAAAAGAAGTTACATAATTTTCAATGTCAACTATTCCTAAGTAAAATTTCATATTTCTCTGTTTACTGATTTAGTTTAAATGGTCTTAATTATAAATGATGATTCTTCAACTAATATAAATAAGTTGTTGTTTTATATTTAATAATTAATATTATTAAATTATTGTATAAAAAAATCATACTTTCGAAGCGTTCAATGTCAAGTTCGAAACATCCAACAAAATATCACTAAACTACCTTGATCTGCATCAATATTAAAACAGGTTAATAGATTTTTATGCAAACACTTGCATTTTAATTTTTTTGGAATTTTATGGAAATATCCAAGAATTTAGTACTTACGATATTCATATTAAAGCTTTCAACTGGGTCTTTTTCACAAACTGAATAATGTATGTCTCTAGATCCAGCTTTTATAGAAATCCCACCAACATTTGTATCTTTATCCAAAATATCAATCAATCAATCAATAATTATCTTACACACAAAAAAAAACAATAAAATACCTGTTTTGTTTATTATAATATATTTTGTAAACAATAATTTAAACAAATTATTCATATCATCAATTTATTTCCAAAAGTGAATTTTATTTATTTTTTTGATAAGTTAATATATTAGAGTTTAATTACTTTGCATAACTATGTTATTTAATATTATTTGTATAACATTCTTGGATAATCAATATTTTAAAATTCTTCGTTAAGCAAATTGAAAGTTTCCAAAACATAATTTTATTGGGTCATCTAAATCCAATTAAAGAGAGCGGTAGAATTTGATAATTTTTATATAAGTTATGTCATGGTCGTATTTGGTTTGAGTAAAAGTGGTATAATCTTATTTAGCACAAAAAATGGCATGTAAACAAGTTAAAAAGTTTTGTAATGGAACCTTTAAACAATATTTATATGAAATATGCTTTTCTAAAATATCAAAGTTGATTATTTCTATGCAACAATATAACTGTATTCTTTGTGTTAGCTTCAATAGGGCGTCAATTATGTGCAAACTTTAGAAATATATACGCATATACACCAATACTGCATATGGGTCAAAATGCCCTGTTTAATTTAAGCCCGTTTTAGTACATGGAAAACCAAATTTGTTCCACTTTGAAATCCAAATATTGATGAGTCGCTTTGACCCGAAATACACTCTACAATAAAATAAGTACCTCTAGTCACCACTGCTTTGATCCTATTGAAAAGAGCAGTAGTAAATACTAAAATAGCCATAAAATCAACCCCCACAATTAAATTACAATAGAATGCGAATCAAATGGGTCACTTTGACCCATCCGTAGTACTTATGGGTTAAATCCGCATCAAAATAAGCTTCACATAAATTATCTTAAGTGTTTTGAGAAAAAAACATTTTTTTTAGAATTTATTTTCATTTTGCAGAATTAAAATTTAGTTATTTTGAAAAATATTTTAATTTTTAATTAATTTACAATTTTTGATGCTAATTTGGGTCAAAGTCTGAAGTCTTTCTGTCTATTTTTTATACTTCCTTAGTCAATACTTTTCAACCTTGTAAATTTATCTTAACGTAACAAAATAATCAATACACAAATGTTTATTATATTTGAATGGATTGGTTCAAATCTATTAACAGTATATAATTTAAAAAAAATGTAAATGAATATAATAGATATTATAAAGTTCACTGTGATGTAATAAATGTACATCAAATACAATTACCTAGAATTTCACTTACGTATGAAAGTTCAAGAGGTTGCGTTACGATTGCGCATTTGAAAAGTTCAATTTACCAAAATAGTGTTTAATTAAATAAAAGAAAAATGTTTTATCTGGAAACTGCTTTATTCACACCAAATTGATATATTACAGAAAAATATATTATTTGCTTCTTTTCATACAATTCAGTGTTTTTATTTACAAGTATGTACAGTACGTTTGTTTGATGATCGATCTCTAAAATATTTAGTAGTCGTATTCATGTTAAGTTTACACTAAATTTGATAAGCAAATATTTACCAAAAAACGTAGGTGGTATTAAAAAAAATCCAGACGGTTTATTTACTTTCCAATGCCGCCACCGGCGAGGGAAGCCAACGCCGCTGAGGGTACACCGAGTTGTGGTTTCTGGACCCCAGCAGATGCCGGTATATGTTCACCCTTTGGTTGGAAACCATTTTCATCGGCTATGTATTCCACGGTGTAGGTTTGACCATCGTCTCCAACGTATGAATAAGATCCCTTCACCTTCAGCGATTCATCATCGCGACCCTCGTTAACAATCTCAGCGACTTCCTCCTTTTTTGTTCCATCGTCAGTCTCGAAACTGAAAAGCAACACATTATTAAGTAATAATACATAACTCATTGAGATATTATTTAATTCGTGTAATTTGCGTTACGACAAGCACGCATTCATTAACATCATTTCCTCGTACCACGACAAGTCGATTTGCATCTGAAGATAAATGAGCCAGAAATGTGTGACTTTTTGCCTGCAGCGCTTTCTTATGAAACGTCAATGCTCATTCACATTATATAATAGAACAATAAATTGAAATTTCGCAAGACAAATCATTTTCACATAAAATACAAAATTATATTTTACTTACGCGTATCGGTAACCTCCAAGTCCAATGCTTTCCGATACGTAGTTTATAATCTTTGGGATTATTTGGGGATTGGGCCTCGCACTTGCAATTGCAAATAACGCAAATAATAAAATGACCTAAAAAAAAACAAATAAAATTATTAAACTTTTACAAAAAATAATGAGTTTTTCATACTGTTTTAATTTTCTGCAGTTATTTATGTAACTGATGCAAACACCTCTGGTTTAGTTAAAATAAAACATTACAAAGAAGTTTTAATTGAATTTTTTTCTGTAATTATTTAGACAAAAAGTCAACTGCCTACTTTTTTTCTCGTGTCTGTTATTATTAGGAAATATACTTTTTTAATATTACTAATAATAAAAGTAATCTGAACAAATCCTAGATAATTAATTCTAAGATTTCGACATAATGGATTAAGTATTCAGTTTTTAGTAGATTAGTGCATAAAATATCAAACAAATAAATTAATTAGTATTATTAATGAAATTAGCCAATAAATGGTTTTATTACAAATGTTTTTTTGTAATTGTTTATATAATTTTCTAATTAATAGAAAAATCAATAATTAATACGGAAAAAAATATAATTACTATCATTAATAATATTAATCTAAACAATTCTAGATAATAATTTCTAAGATTGCAAAAGCAAATATTTATAAATTTCCTTTTAGATTAATGTAAAAAAAAATAAAGAATATCAAACAAATGAAGCATCTCGAGTAATAATCACGTAATCTAAACAATATGAGAGGAAAATTGCGCACGCTATATGCTCTATTACGCAATACCTCATTCGCCGCTAATAAAAGATGAAGATGAGACTCTTTTAAACGTCAAGGTAGTATAGCAATAGTAATTAGTGGAAAGGTGTTTCGACAATATACTGAAATGTATTTAATCCTTAACTTTGACATTTTAAGCAAACGATTAATTAAGTTATTAATACCAACAAAAAATAAGCTTAAAATATGTTTAAATTATTTGTCGATAATACAACAATTCCATAAATACTAAATTATAACTGTAAAATATCTCAAATTAATAGCGAAAACCGAAAGGTCATTATCCTTTATAATATATTTTATTAATTTAATTTTCTTTAATGATTTCTTCGAATTTTTAGTGATCATCTATTAATAAATGTTTGATCAAAACTATATTTTTTGTGTGGCCAAAATCAAGGACAAGATGCTAAATTATTATCTGGACTTACCACTTTCATGTTGGTGTTGTGTTTGTGTAGAATCTAACTAACTGATGTACAGTCTCCAGTCCGTAATCCTTTTATATGCTCACCTAAGCAATCCCACCAAAATACGCATTTTACCATTTTGTCACTTATAAGTGTTTTTTTTTTTTGCAGTTTTGTCAATAGACCACAATAAACCTTTTGATAAACAGTTCTTGTAATATTTAATTATTAACAATCGTTTCAATGCAATTCATTCGACACACACTTATTAAACATGAATAATAACAAATATTATTTTATGGTGAATCTTATTGTGTAGGTGTAGGATAAGTAGATATTTTTTTTATTAAAATCAATTATTTTGTTCACTCTAAAATAAAAAATTCAGTTTTAGCAGCCATTTATATAAAATTTTATAAATACGGTTAATCCGTTCCAAAATTTCCGGATTTTTACTCGTATAGTGAAACATATTCAAAATTACACATAATATGTGTACACAAGTTTTAAAAATGATGTAGCAGGCGCGCAATCCTGGACATCTCTTCTCATCGTTATGCAAAACGTCGCTCGTTAAGCGAGTTATTGTTATATAATTTTGCTCGTAAGCGAAACGCTCGTTATACGAGGTACTCGTTAAGCAAGGTTCCAATGTATTCCTGTTTAATATTATTTCCTTAACATGGACACTTTTAACTTTTAACTGACTATATTACTATTTAATTATTAAAATAATTGTTTGCTAAATTTAAAATAACAACACACATTTATAGAAGTTTATTTTAATTAATTCATTGAAAATCATATTTTATCACTGTCAATTTCAAAAAATTATTATATATTTGATTTATTTCAAGGAACGAAATATAAAAAATGGATACATAATAACTGAAGTTACATAAATAATAAGTATATAATACTTATAAGTATTAATTAATATAAATTTCAGGTCAAAAAGACTATGGTCAATAGTTTGGAACTTTTCTATGTATATAATAACTTGCATCCTTCGTCTTCAATTAGCCCGGTACCATACAGCCGGGATTCGGTTTCTTTCACTATACGAGGTATTGCTGTACAATATTTTTCACCTTACCTAGTAATTTCAGAATATTGTTCTTAAAATAATTTATAACTATGCTATAAATGTTTATGTTTCTTTGTTTCTTAAATAAATTTGTCTAATAAGGTTTGAATAATTAATAAAGTATTTAGATATTATTTATAGATATACAAATTAAAAGCAATTTCTAAATACGCCAAATGTATGTTTAAACTAATAATTAAGCTATCAATTCCTCAAGCATATGTGAACTATGTCAAGGTTATTCTTCTTTATCGATTATAAAAACTTAACCAAATTTTAAATTACAATTACAAATAAACATTATATACTTTTTGTATATCAAATATTTTCTTAAATTACATTAATGATCTTCTTGTAGTAAAAGAAAATAGTAAAATATGATTGAGTGATAAATTTATGAGTTTTTTAATACTTGTATGTAAACAATGTACAATTTGAAATTTATGAAATTGCTTATATGGACTTTTATTCATAACATAACAATTTGTACATTCTTAAAACTCTGTAACATTAAATTTTGTTTATATCTGAAAATATTTAAAATATGCGTTTATTAGCAAATTGTGCATAGAATTATACCTTTTTCTGCTTACTATTAGAATTATTTTTGGGATCAACTTGTTACTTTACGAAATCATATTAATAAATCTTATGGGATTATAGATAGAATTGTAAAATGTCTTCATTAATTACCTTATTATGGATATTGACCAAGAGATGAGAACATTCTTCACTGAGCACCCATTAAAATTGAATTAAGAAATCCCATTGATGCGATAATTTGTAGAATTTGCCCTAGCTTAAAGTAAAAAATCCCCGAGAAAAAATAATCGACCTCGGTCATTAGTTGTGATTTCTAATATCCGCAACATTAATGCTAATGTACACTAAACGCAAATAATAGTAAAAAAAAATCAAGTTAAATAATAAGCACAAACCTGTTGAAGAAGATACATCGTAATTGGTTATTATAAGAACTATAAAACAACAATTGCAAATGTCACAAACGCATGCTTAAAATAACAGCAACATTCTCCAACTTTTTTCATACCGCAAAACATATTTTTTTTAAAACTACAATTCCAAAAATAAAATAAAATTTTATTTTTATTACCAAATTAATATCATTTATCAATCATCTTTTATATAATATTTTATAAAAATTACTATTTATTTTATTTATTTATTTTTATTAAAAAATATATTGAACATAATTCGGACTATCAAACGTGGTAGAAAAGAATTTCAATACTTAAATTAGAAAGTATTAAATAATAAAACTAATTAATTTAAGTTATTTTTGATACATCACTTCAACTAAATAAATTTAAAAAAATGCCTTATGGACTTTCAGCTAAGTCGATGGACAATGACAGTGTTAATGATAGCAGCAGACTCACAATCAAAGGAATCGCAGAGCATCAATATACTACTGAATTTAACTTAAAATCATCATCAATTAAAAATCATTATAATGGTAACTGTCCACCGGGAAAGATTACCTACTTAATGTCAACCGCGATCTTAAATTTATTCAATGTTCACAGATTGTAAATAAAAATTACACAACATAAAAAAAATGCTTCATATAAACGTAACTTTGAATATATTAATTTTATTAATATTTTTTCTAACAATTTATGAATATTGATAGACTTAATGTGTTTATAATAATATTGAAATTTTTATGATAGATTTTGTATTTGAAATTATTAAAATAATCCAAATTTGAGAGATTTTGTAAGAACTTCAATGCTCGGTTAGAACAGAAACCTATTATCAGATAAATGCATTAACATACTATAAAGCAAATAAGAATAGAAATTAATATATTTTAAATCAATGATGAAATAGTGACCTAATTAATAATCAGTTTCAGTTATTATGTAAATTAGAAACCGGTAGATTAAGCGCAGGGAATTGGGAAATCTGTGTCGTAATGGAAGTTAATTCAGCAAGTGTGAATCTTAGATTTAAGTCATTTTACCACTTGTTTGACTGCAATCTAGTGAGAGATCGTGCCTCAAAAATAATTATTTTAATTTTAACTTGCTTTGTGAATTATCTCTCATTGTATTACGTTATATGCGAAAAAAAAATGGTACTTAGGAAAATGGTATAGTTTATGCACCATATAATAAAAAAAAAATACTCAGTGTATTTCAAATAAAGCAGAACAAAAGATTTTTATTCATTTTATGCATTTCCTTTATCCAATCTTTACTTAACTAATAAACGTGTTTTATCAAGCCAATCCAACTTTTGTGTAAACATCTTTCTCAATTTAATGTTTATTATTGTGTCTATCTTGCATATAAACCTTTATATTATTCGTATCATGACTATTATCAAAATGTTAAATAATTCTGCATTTACATTGAAATATAAAATATATTATTATGTTCATTGGAAGAAAGTTTGTCCCACTTAATTGTAGTAGTAAGTTGAAGAAAGATACATTTTATAAATATTTTATTATGCTTGTGTGTGTTAATATATTTAATTAATTTCTTAGTTACTCATTTTTTTCTTTTGATCAGTTTACAATTTATTATTAAATTTTGTATTTATGATTTTTCAATATAATCTTTTTTCAATATTTTAAAACACACTTAATTTTAATTAAGCAAAATAAATTAGCAGTGTTTTCTTTATATAATCAAGTCTTTTGTTTGTGTTAATTTCTACCATTAGTCTGGTTTCAAACAGTCCAGCATTATGACGGATCTGATTACCCTCACTATGTGAGGTATTGTGCTGTATTTTTTTTTATTAAATCTGATTTGTAATACTCATCATAGCAATTAAATAAATATGATTTATTTCTGTGGTTTCGTATGGTCAATAACCCTTTTGCTGCAGTTGACTTTATTTGAAATTCTCAATTAAAACTATTTAGCAAGGTCAATATGTATTTTTTTTTTCTGGAGTCAATTATTTCACAATACAGTGGAACCTCGCTTAACGAGCACCTCGCATAACGAACATTTCGCTTAACGAGCAAAATGAATTGTAAGAAAAATGAGATGTAAGTGACGATGAGAAGAGAAGTCCCGAATTGCGCGCCTGCTATATAATATTGTGTGTATTTTTGAATATGTTTCACTATACGAGTAAAGATCCGGAAATTCTGGAACGAATTAAACTCGTTAAGCAAAGTTCCACTGTATATTACAATATAAAATAGTTAGGTAAATTTTATTATAGGCAACTTAATTTACACTTTGCATTTAACAAATTTAAAAATAAATAAATAAAATTTATAATGAAAGTAAATTACATTAATTAATTAAATTATTAAAAAATAATTAAATATATTCAATAACGGTTATTGTAGAAGCTTTATTAAATTTATCATTCAGATAAAAAAAACTATCAATTACGTACTTTTTACTGTAAATTTGGCTGCCGAGATTAATTGTTCTGTAACTCTTTGAGGCAGCAAAAATTCCAAATATTTCTAGTCCCAGCTAATTTATAGACAAGTAAATAAGACAGCTTTGTCAACTGAATCAAAATTGGATGGTATAGCCTATCGAGATTCATCCATTGACATACCAACTAAATTAAGGAATAATTCCTCTTTCCTGGAAATTTCCTAGAAAATTATACTAATGCCTCAATAGGCTTGTTCAGAAGATGGGATAATGCTGTCCCATCGCCGTTCAAAGAGTTATAGGAAGTTTTCATTTAATTTGGCCATCAACGTATAGCATTTTTTTAAACTTTCATAAATAGTTTTCTACTCCTTATTACTCTTAGTTCTATAATAAAAACAATTTTTATTGCAATAATTATTCAATTAAATCAATAATTAATGACAATCTTGTTTGTGAAATATGAATAATTAAAACTGTTACTATATTTATTTTGTGTTCAAAGTATTTAGAATTTATTCTTTTTCTTTAATTAATTTGTTTTTAAGTTTTGAAAGCGGACTATGTGGGTTATAAATGGTGGGATATAAATTAATAGAAGATATAAATATGTTTTAATAATTTTTATTATAAAAAATATCTCTTGGATTAAACTATATAACAATATAACAAATAGAATTTTAAAAAGAATATAACAAGATCATAGCAAAAAATATATCACAAATATTACTTCCTCTGATTGAAAACTCCTCCACTAGAATGATTGTTTTGAATGACCTCGAACAACTGATTAGAGATGTCGCCATTGATTTTCCTGTATTTGGGAATCGGGCTAGAACCTTCGGCGATGTGGCTTAAGGGTGAGATGGTCACCGCTTGGACTTTCGGGATTGAAGTTGAAGGAATGTAAGTGTTAGAAATAGTATCTTGGTTAATGATGTTGCCACTGGTTCCCAGATGGTTGACGTTCGTGTTCGTTTTCCTTAAGAAATCTTCATTGAAGATGACCGGGTCAATGGTGCTAGAGATTGGAGGCTTTTCACTGGAAGGAAGGTAAATGTTTGTGAGCTTAGATCTAGTTTCGATTTGAGGGACTTCGTCTTCGTGCTCTTGGATGTAACGGTTGGTGGGCCACGGGGTGTACGGTGGTACTTTAATGTGATCACCCTCTGGATGGAATCCGTCTTTATCAGCGGTATAACGAACGGTGTAGACTTTTCCATCTTGAGCAGTGAAGGAGAAAGATCCCTTTACAACAACTTCTTTTGATACCAGTTCCGCTTCTTCCTCACGATACTGACCATCACTTTGTTCATACCTAAAAATAAATAAAGAAGTTGATTAATTGTTGATGTGTACGAGGAATTAGCTTGTTGTGGTTTTGCAAAATAATACGATTAGATGATTAAGATTTTATCCAAATTGCGGTCAAAGAAAGCCAGTAGATAAATCTCAATTCGCAGTTACGTATTAGAAGAAAAAAAGATACGTGAACTCTGACATGGGCTGCATTTCTTCGGAAACGAATTAACATAAATATGTGTACGCGCATTTACATAAAACCTATCACTTCTCTCTCGCATTTCAAATAGGATAATTGGTTAATGCTCAATACTCACTTGAAGTGATAAGGTCCAGATCCGTCGTTTTGGAATTCGTACTTCAACAATTTGGCATCACGGCTACTGTCCAATCCTAAGCAGGAAGCTACAGCGAGCGAAATGCACTGAAATTTCAAATAAAATTTTATATAAATCACTGTTCGTTTCGCACCGCTGAACGAATTACTTACGCAAATGACCAACTTGTTCATTTTAAAATGGATGTTGTTGATGTTGTTGTTGGTTGTTGAGCGTAGTCGGAACTGATTAGCTTCCAAAATTAAAAACCTTTTATACGGAATTCGATGGCCCATTTCTTCCCCACCTTCCGGGTATCAAATTGGTATCGATTTGTAATTGAAATCTCTCTTATTATCATAATCCCCTTGTTCTGTTCTTGTCCGCGCCGCCAACAGTCACATTTATATGTTAAATAAGATTTTTTTACATGATGTTATTTGAATATTTATTGTAGAAATACAGACAAACGGACTTTCAACGCGTGCACATCCGTGAATTATATGATGATGGTAACACGGAAATTCACTTAAACGAAACGTTTACGAAACATCAATTTTATTAGAATCCAACACAAAAAAAGCATTACATTTTCAGATCTCTTATCCGACTCCTCCGCCGCCTAACGAAATGATCAGGGTTGACCCAATGCGATCGTCGTCGTCGTCCTCATCATCCGATCCTAGGGCATTCTTATCAGATGGAAGGACGGTAGTGTAGGATGATTGGACAGGATCGACTGGACCACCGATGTGAGTCGTAGGACGAAATCCTTTATCATCAGCTACATAAGTTATGGTATACAAGATGTTATCCAATCCTCTGTACGAAAAATAGCCCTTCTTGCTTAACGACTTTTGGTTAAGATTGGTCTGCTGCATTTCCCCAATTTCCGAGTGCTCAATTCCATTCGAAGTCTCATACCTAAAAAATCATAATCATTAATTTGAATGTCTATTGATTTCTAATAAATGAGACGCGTTAATTACATTTTTTTAAATAATTAATTCATAGAACTGTTCAAAGCAATTCGAACAATTTTATCAAGAATTTCAAATAAATCAGATACATAAAATTTATTAGACTTAAAACATACCATGTTTTAATAAATCAATCAAGTTAAAAAAATATACAAGACACATTAATTTATCAAAACGCGTACGGCAATTAAAAAGTTTCTCTTTAATTAAAAATGAATGTACAGTGATTACAATTGCAAAAATTAATATTTTTTTATTTATCTTATTTTGCGCTGTTTTTAGTTCATTGATTGGTACGGATTAAAACAGTCCGGAATATTAACAGACCCGTACAATGCCAAGTATTGTTTTCAACACCTAGTGTAATTGATATATATATGTGAAATTGTTGCAACAAATATTCTTATTATTATTTCATTTTACAGTTTAAATTCTAATAAATCAATTACTTTTCAAAAAATATAATAGATAACTTTATTTATAGAACTTCGCAATTAATTTTGATTTTTTTTCTGTTTTACTTAAAAAATATAAAACATATAATAATTAATATTTATTAATTTCAAAGTTTTTTTTACTCAAAACTTTGATAGACTTTCATTTTAATACTTATTGATATCTAATAAATCAAACACATTTAAATATAAAACATTAATTTATAGAAATATGCAATAAATTTCAAAGCATTTTTCCTAAAATTTGATAGATTTTCATTTTAATACCAATTGATTTATAATAAATCAAACACTTAAAAAAAATATATAAAAGACATGAGAATTCATTTAATTTATTCATTTCCAGTGTTCAATACAAATCTTTCACCCAAAACATATTATTCTCGACGTCTTTTTCTAAATTTGAAACATTTTTCATTTTAATACCAATTGATAAATACATAAAAATTAACTTAAAAGTTATAATTTTTACTCAAAAAAAAATTGACATACTTTTTCATTTAAATATCTATTGATTTCTAATAAATTAGCCGCACCGAATACAATAATTCACTTATAGAAATCTCTTCAATTCAATTTCTTTTCAAAGTAATGAATTTTAATTAATAAGGAAATAAATTTAATATCCAATGATGCAACCACCGAATATATAATGATCTGTTCATTCCCGGAAAGTTTTCTATCCAATAGTAATAATTTCCTGAATGAATATATGCATTCACCTCAACAGTTAGGAATTTTGCATTTTTTTGTTATCGATTTCAATTTCTAACTGTTCTAAATGTAATTTTCTGCATTTACATCTTTTTGAATATTTTACAATAATCAATCGATCAATTCGTCGACCACATGAGATTCGCTAATAAATTATAATCAAAACGAAACGCATTAATCTTTATTTATAATTTTAAATTCCTGTCATCACATTAAAAATAGAATAATACATTTATTTATATATTTTAAATACAAATTTTAAAATTAATTAATTTCATATTTAGTAAAAAAATTGTAAGGAATTGACGTATACATTGACTATTACATAATTGTAAAAAAAAACAATTAATGTTTTGTGTCATTACATTAAAATAATGAAAATATAAATTAATGTGTATAAATTAAACAGTATAAATTATTGATAAACACTTTGATTATTATATAATAAATTCTTAAATCAATTTTATTATATTCTGTCATCGCATTAAAATAATAAAATCAAAATTTTGAATCAATTAGGAAGTAAATCTAATAGACTCATTTTTTTTAAATACAAATTTCTATGTCAAGAAATAAAATTTATTACTACAGTACTGTACAAAACAAAAACAAAACACGTAACTTTAGGTTGTATAAAAAAATTATATAAAAAAAGAATTTGCTTTAATGTGGCTGCGATCAATAAATTTAATTTCTAATCATTTAAATATTAATTTTCTAACAAAGAAGAATGCGCCTTGTTAGGTGAAGTTATTTGACTATAAACTATGTTTTATGTATTCTTCTAGCAATAAGTAGAAATCTTTGTAACGGTCTACATAAATTAAGTGGTTAAGATTTATTAGATAAGGAAGTAATCATTTCCGAATAATGTAGTGGGGTGGCATTCGTTATAAAAACGCAGGATTCTTCGGATAGAAGTCTATTCCTTCTACTTCCCACAATAGTCACACTCATACATCATCTTATCTATATTATTTAATAAGAAGATAAATAACATCTAGTACTTAGTAAACTGAATAAAAAGTTTAATTTAAATTTATTCTGAAGCTAACAGAAGTTTGAAAATTAATATATTATTTTGTGTTTTTGTATAAAGGAACAAATTTAAATATATTACGGCTGCAATCAGTTCGGATTCACCATAGTCCGGTTTGAAATTCTCAAAACAAATTAAATTTTAAGTGAACAAAGCAAAACTAAATTCTAAAAAATTGTACAGATTTTATTTAGGTCTTCGATTAGTCCGGTTTCAAAGAGTCCGAGATATTGGCAGAATCGATTACCCGTATAATGAGAGGTATTGCTGTATATTTATTTAGTTAATTTTAGTAAATTGGCGTAATTATTCTTACATGTAAAACTCAATAGATAGTAAATTGACCTTTGTGGAAAATTCTGTCTTTATATATTATTTTCTAAGAGATTTTCTACAAATAAATTTTACAAAAAAAAATAATGAATATAAATCTCTATTTTTTCGCTACAAATTCTTTCAAGTTTAAAAACCTAATAAATTGATTTTAATTTTCCAATAAATAACTATATAATTATACTAAAGAATTGTAAAATCGTAATACGATATCTTCAAGTTATTCGATATTTGTGTCAATCTTGTTTTTTCGAATTGTTTTTCATGAAAGAATCGTTTATTTTTTTATTTATTGGGTGTGAACGTAGCATAATTAAATAGATAATTGTAAATGATTACATTGCGTTTTGAATAAATTGTAAATATCGTTTTGCATGTTTCTAACGTAAGTAAACAAAACCTTGAAGACTTGTAAATAAAAAAGAAATACATACTTGTAACGGTAAGAGCCTGGAATCTCCTGTTTATACTCGCTCGTCAATACCTTTGCATCTTTATCGCCTTGGGGTCTCCCATGGACGCAAGCAATTAACAAAAGTGCGCAGAGCTAAAAAGAAGAAACAACAATGATAATTCAACAACAACAACAAGAGAAAAAAAAATAACAATTGCTCTTAATGAGAGAGTCGTACGCATTTTCCACGAGAAAAACAGGTTTCAGCGTTCGCAAATTACTAAGTCTGATCCATTTTATTTTTGTTGTTGTTGTTAAAATGTGATATGATCGAAGGCTACGCAAATTCCCTACAACTTTCCCAGAAAATGTCTTACTCTTCTCGACTCGACCCGATGACCTTGCCTTCGTAAAAATTGGTATAAAAATAACCTTATTGCTGTTGCATTCATTCCAAATACCAAAATTTCGATGCGAAAAGCTATCACTTCTTTAATTAAGTTGTTTTGTTAGTATTAAAAAAAAAACTAATTTTAATTAGCGCACTAAAATTAAAAAATGCTATGTTAATATTTGTGATTTATGGTGCTTCGAGAATATTAATTGCTTGTAGAAACGCAAATATGTTTGTTTATGGAAGCACGGCCTGTCAGATACTTTTTTTTAAAATAAATATTGTCTAATAAATGCATGCTAATTAATAATAACTTTCATATCGATGACAAAACGAAAGAAGAAGAAAAATTGATGAGCGGAGCGGCAATTAATTACAGTTTTAATTGGAATTATGGAAATGTCGTTGAAATTTTGAGGCAAAATTTATATATGTAGAAAAACAAAATGTGTTGCTTACAGTTTTCTGTGGCGGTGAGTTCAGTAACATTTCAAGAGATCGAAGTGCCTTTAAGGACTACTACTGGAACAATACTGAACTTGTTTTAACGTCGTTGTTCTTATGTATAATTACTTCTTATACTTTTATTTGGACTTCAGGTTCATCTTGTAATTTATGTCGTATATTAAGCTTGAAATATGCTGCAGTCCTTTTCGCCGGCGGAGTGCATTCAAATTTATTACCCTCTTGATATCTGCGTCACAATATTTTTTTTCTATTTGGTTTTTCGATATTAATATAGCTTTTAAAGATTACTTAGAATCGAAAGTGGTCATTTTCGAAAGATACGTATTTAAGTATTTATTACCCTGACATTAATATTTTAAGTAATCACTTAATAATTTCAATAAATTCAAAATCATTTTAAACAAAATTTAATGTCTTTATAAATCTATTAATTATCTATTATATTAAAATTATATCATTTTTTTATTTAATTACTATAACTCATTAAAGAAAAAAATAATGTCTAACTAAAGTAAATTAAATTAATTGATTGATAAAATTGTTTCAATTAATTAATAAAATAGTTTCAAACCAAAACCACAATTTATTAAAATGTTATGCTTTTCTAATTAATAACTGAATGTATACAAATTTTATTAATCTTACTAAATTAAAAAACCCAATAAAATAGTTTTTTTTTGCACTATAATAAGTTATAATTTCTCTAATTAAGTTGCTTTTCTAACTAATACTGAATGTATTACATTTTATAATTATTTAACAATTCAACAAGTTATATAGATTCTAATTAAATTCTAATTAAATTAATGCAACAGCAAGAATATCAATTTATTAATAAAATGTATATTACCAAAATCAAAATATTAGAACAAATGTATTTCTCATAAAACTAAAAGAATATTAATACAATTAATAATTTTTTGATTGGAATTTTACTACTTAAATTGATATCTGTAATTGAATGAAGTTCCTTACAAGAAAATTCATAAATAGTAAATTTAGTGAACCATATATCAACAGATGAACATGAAATATTTACATCATGGTAATATATAGAAACTTGACTTATAATATAATTCTGATCAAATAATATGTAATTATTAATACAAAATACTTAAGTCGATAGACTTTGAACCATATTAGGGCCAATGAAAATATGTACATTAATATTAATAAATAAAAATTTGGTGATTTGGTGACTAGTAACACCTCACTTAATAAGTTCGTAGGATGTCCAATAAAACAACAACTTTTAGGCAATATTCGACTTTATTCATGAACATAGTCACGAGTGACACATTCATACCAACTATTCTCTAATATTTCGATACCTTTCTTGGCCAACAATTTATTATTGGCCCTTTGCTGTCCACTCAGCTGTCGACCGATTTGACTCTGATATATAGTGGTGGATCCAGGTTTCATCCATTGTTACATATCGCATGAAAAAATCATTTTTATTTTGCTTGAACAGCTCCAAACAGCACTCGGAATCATTACCTCGTTGTTGTTTTTGGTCCACTTTGAGCTTGAATGTGGTACCCATTTGAAACAAAGCTTTCTCATGATCAAATGTTCATGCAAAATGGTGAATACACTGCCTTCTGATATCTTCAGGGTATTAACTATATTAGGCAACATCAATTTACGATCGGTCAAAACCATTTTGTACAACAATTGCCGAAATTGGGCATTTTGGGCGTTCACCATTACGTGTGTCTGTACAACCGCGATTAAAATCAACAAACCACGGAGAAGAGTCTGCTTGAACAGTATTTTTTCCCATCAAAATGTAATGTTTTATCAATATACGAAATTCAGATTTTTCCATTGTTTTGAAAATTACAAAAGTAGCGTCACTAAAACCACTGTAGCTTGTGAACTAATCGTCAGATTATCATGAAATTTTGACAGGTGTCGTCTGAAGGTTGGTAAATCCTAAAAATCATATCGACAGAAGCTCCATGCATATGTCATCCTACGAACTTATTGATTGAGGTGTTATCTCATGAAATTACTTCGCCTGTCAGTTTTCTTCTTCAATGTCTTTTATTATTACAGAAAACAAATATAATTACTACTAATTAAATTTATAATTTCATTTAATATATGCATGTATTTTATTAACTAAATGAAGAGTAGAATTTACACTCTTGAATATATCTGTCAACTACATTCTTTAAAAATACCCAATTATAATATTATTTATAATGCAATAATAATTAATTATGCACTATATATGCAATTATAAATAACACCATTTCTTTTTTCTTCAGTTATTTGCGTCTTACTTTATGATAATTAACTTCAACAATAATTGTGATATATTTATTTCACGAAAGAAATTCCGCGTTTTTATGTTTAATAAACTCATTCAATACCACAAATGATTGATTGATGAACATATTCAAGGTTACTAATCTACCAAACGCCATTCGAACTAGTTACTCATCAACTTCCTATTATTTATCTACATTTTTTATAATTTTATTCAATTACCAATACTGTCAAGTCTCGTTATGTGCGGTTATTTTTTGTATGTAGTTTCTTGATTTGTCCTGTTTCAAACAGATTGCCGATGACCCGCACTTTGTTAGATATTTGTGTACAATATTTCTGTATAACCTTTACAAATAATACTAATTACGCAATTAGATATTGTGTTTTGTTCCTAAGCATTGTTATTACAAGTACCATGGGATGCATAATTATTGACATTCCGTTCAAGTCACGTCTGCTAATCATAATATATAGTTGTTTTTACTTACCATTCATAATCAGAATAATTTTATTACTATAACCTTTATTAATAAATAGAAATGAAAATATGACAAAATCTTCGAAAATCCGTGTTTAATACATCCATTAATTTCATTAGGAAATATCTAAAAATTAAATTATTAATACTATTCTAACACATTTTCTTTATCTGTTATATTTATTCTTGAATTTCATATGCATTTTCACCACTTATATTAAAAACAAACGACATTTCAAATGAAGAACATTATCATAGTAATGAATCAATATAATCGTTCTCGTTTCGTATACTAAATAATTGAAATTTAATTATGTGTATAAACTTAACATTATTAACCTTTGTTTGTTCCTAATTTCGTAATTGGCATATCCAAAAGAAGCGATGCACACGATAAAGTAAATATCAAGTATGCAATTATCTAAAAGCCAATTGCATCTATAATACAAAAATCAAACGATATTTTTATTTTCTTTGAATCGATTCAAGTATCTTAAAGGTAAAAACCCTGCGATAATACAATACAGGAAAATCCTCGAAGAAAATTGATATTACTTATAAAATATCAATGGAAATACAGTGTTCGAATTACGCGTGTGGGAAATCTCGCGCGGATTGCGTAAGATTTCAGGTGCATTTATATTATAATAATTGTAAATTCGGACAATTGCTGTAATAATAAATTGCCGAAGAGAAGGGATCTTGGATCAGTTTTACTATTGCATTCGCGTTGAGCTAACACTCGTTGAAAAATGTACGCAATCATATTATTGCTTTGCTTTATTGTATATGGAATTGCGTTACCCATAGAGAATTCAGATTTGGTATCTTTTCAATATGATCAATATCATGTGGATGAAAACGGGATGGGATCCTATAAATTTAGGTAAGTTTATCATTGTAGACTTTCATTCAAGATTTTATTAATGGCATTACTTCATTGCATATTTAATGTTAGCTTTGAATGATAATTCATGTTTCATTATCGTTTTTCATATATTCGATCAGTGCGGATTTATAAAATATTAATTGACAAATTAAAATATAATCTAAAAAATTAGTACAAAAAAATATCTTTTATATTACTTAAATTTAAAACTTTTTAACAAATTTTGGATAATGTTTAATACAAAATTTTCAACTTTTATGTCATTAATAATTTATCAATCTCAATATTCTTTAAATATTAACGTGTAATAAAAAAATCACTTACTAATTGTCGTTATAAAAAATAATTGTTATTGAAAGTATTTCAATATTACGTATAAATTCAGAAACTTCTGTAAAGTCGGTTAAGTATTTTCACACCATATTTATTTAACGTTGGCTGTAGTAACAATGTTTGCATACTGTATTTATTAATGAGTTTTTAAATACTATAATTATGAACAAAATTGGTTATGACAATTTTAATTACGATTCTTTATGTAAGTAATATTAATTAATATATCAATTAATTAATATTAGCACACATAGTTTATTCATGTTTTATCAAAGCTTTATCAACTACAATTAGAAATAAACTCAATTTTTAAATTTGGTCATTAAATAAAATAAGAAAATCAACTTTTACAACAATATCTATTGATACTTATTGCTGAGTATATTTTAAATCTACTTAAATAATGTTTTCATTAATATTTTAAAACCATTTACAATACATCAGGTATTTTCGGTTAGAACAAATAGTTTACTCATATTATCTAATGACATTTAATATCTGACATTTAAAAGTATGTAACTAAAGAATAAAACCATTAGTATTCATATTTTGGAGAGTATTTATACAAATTTTACCAGAAGTCAGTTATTCATGATTTTTCAGTAATTTGGACAAAAATTCTGCGCAATAATTTATAATCAGAAATAGTTGCAAAGTATACAACGATAGAGATATGACCTATTTAAATTGTCTATTAAATCCATATATTCAAAAATTAATAATAATAACATATATTGCAACAAATCACTATACTACAAACTCAACAAAATAACATAATAAGAAAATAAAAACAAATTGATCTGCTATTCTTAAATATTAGTACACATACTTATTTCATTATGTAAGCACAATAACGCGATCAAATTATACGAATCATTCATCGCTATTGAACAGAAATGATTGCACGTTACTAGCTTCTTTTTGTACCGACATTTTCTTTGTTGGGGAATATCCCAATTGCGAAATCACCGGGTCGCTATATCTTTCTCTTGATCTTTAGTCACGAAATCCAACATAACTGCACTATCAAGAGTGACTTGCTTCAATTATAAAAAATAACACTATAAGATATTGTTCCAACATTTTCCACAATTATGGGAGACCACGAACGCGTGATGAATGTCACATCCTTTTGCATTAAGAAACCGTTTCGACACCAAAAAATAACAACACAAAGGGCGTAGTTTTATTCGCTCATTATTATTTATTTTTTTGTGCTATTCATTTTAGTATCTTCCGGTCAAAATTAATCCTGAGCGGAGGCTTTCTAAATTCCTTTGGAGACGTTATGCAAGAGCGGACAAAATAAGTCAGAGGTCCGATAACTTACGTAAAGACGTTTCTCATCTCGCATCTTCCTATTGACGTCTTCATTTCAATAATGAACAAACAAAAATGCGTATTACCAATTTAAATCCTATTCAGTTTTAAAGCAGAAGCTTGTACGTTTGTAGACAAAGCATTTTATAGTTAATACAATATTAATGTAGCAAATCGTTTAAAAACACATCACAGCTTCGTTTACAAAGAGTAATAATAATAAAACACTTTGCGTCGTGTACATCGGTAATATGTAATAATTCACCTCACCTTGTACATCTAATTTTTGCAATCTTAAGACATGTTACACGTATTTTATATTAATCACGATAAACACGAACGAATCTGTGTTAAATATGATTTATTATAGTGAATTTTTTCGTTGCTCATGTTATTATGACACATACAAAATGCATTTTTACATTTATCTATCATCAAAAAATATATAATTATAATGGTTTATATAATTACAAAATGCTTTCAGCTTCGAGTCGAATGATGGAATTGCACGTCATGAGGAAGGCCAGGTGCAAAATCCGGATTCCGAAGATGCCGAATTAGTAGTTAAAGGTGCATATGCATTCCGAACACCTGACGGTGTTGTCCATAGTTACTTATACACGGCTGATAAGAACGGATTCCATATAAGTGAGATTCCTGTCATAGGTTCAAAAATAAACACTCCACTTTTAAACTCCTTGGGTGGAGGAGGCATCTAAGTGATAAAACAAAAGTACTGCTGTTCCTAGGATTGGAGGGAACATTCAATTAATGTTACAATCATAATTTATTATATTTATTTATTTAATCGTGAAATTGCGAATTACCAAATAAATACATTGTTCTATAAAAATTGATTGCCAGTTGGCTTTTGTTTCAACATGACGAAACTTTTCCTTATAGTTTTAATGAGTTTAATTGGAGTTTTCATGTGTCTCGGATTTCCTGCCGTACCTCGGGATGAACTTAAAGTCTTTCACAAAGACCGTTTAACCATATACACGTATAAGTGAGTATAGTTTTATTCAGTTGATTTTAACTATTAATATCTATTTTTTCTGTTATTTTTTAGCCGCGATTTTACAGATGGAAATAAATTCGATGGAAACAAATTTTCACGTGGTGTATCCAATTATAATTCTAATTACAACACTAGATTTTAGGTTAATATGTACATATTAATAAAATAAATAAATCCATCATATTTTATACAACTTTTACCAAATAAAAAATTTATAATATATTATAATTAAAAAAATTCTTTCATATGTATTAATATATATGTATTTCTTTTGAATTCATCCTTTTCATATTATTATACACAAATTAAATAAAACGTTTATTTTTTTATATAAAACATTAAATTAATTGCAACACATAAATATTTGAAAGCTCATATATCTTCAATAGAAAATAGGTATATTATAAATGGGTTAAATGTAAAGTAATAAGCGTATGTAATGTTGCATATATTAAAACAACTGAGAAATAGCAATGTTCAAAATAAAATATTGAGATATGCAATTAACTAGAAGAAATGGTGCATAATTAATAATTTTACCAAGACAAATTACATTTCCAATAAATCATATTTTTAAACTATAAAATTGTATTCTGGAAATCATTTACAGCAATACCTCGATTAGTACGGCCTCGATCTGCCCGGATACACTATAGTCCGGTTTGAAAGTTTCCAAAGAAAGTAAAGTTTAATTGACAAATTCAAAAAATATATTATTTTATACATAAATTATTGTATTTTTTTATACAATCAAGTCTCTTTTAATGCAGTTAAATTGTATGTTTTTATTTTAAAATCCTGGAGTAGTCCGGTTTTAAACAGCCTGAAAACCAATTACCCGCACTATATGAGGTATTGCTGTAATACTAAATAAATTTTAGTCTACATTTATAAAATTCTTAAATTATGATTATTAAGAAAATGGTGAATTCAACTGCAAAACTAATCTTAAAGTAATGATCTGTACCAAATATTACACTGTTTTCGCTTATCGTTCTAGTGCATCAGACCAAAACCAATACAGTTTTATTACAAATTTAGTTACAATGAACAATCATTTCTGAAATCACATTATTAAAAAAACAATAAACGATAATAATTTAATTTCAAAAAGTGATGGATTTATATAGAGCAACAAAAATCATACTTCAATCAGTGTAAAGCAATCATCTACAACATGAAGACCATTGTACTATTTGCCATTTTCTTTGCTGTCATCGCTTTAAGTGCAGCTTATCCAAAGCAAATGTACATAGATATTAGCACAAACTAATGTTTTTTTTTAATTGCTTCTTTTTCAGTTTGGATTCTGGCAGTTCCGACGTGTCATTCCTTGGCAATGTATCCAAATTTTCCGGAATTATTCAATTCATTGCATCAGAAGGAAGCGAAGCTGTCCTGAATATCGTAGTGAATCTGGTGCGACGTTTCATAGTGAAACTGTTTGCAGGAAACAATGCTTAAATTGAAATACACGATTTTACTATAAAACTTCTTTTTATTTATATAACATGTTTTTTTTTATGTCATAGTATATTTATTTTACAATCTATTCCCGCGAACATTAATTAAATCTAATGGTGGTAGACATTTATTTTTTTGATAAACTTTCCAATGGAAGTTTTTACCATTATTTTATTTTTTAACTTTGTTGGTTGGCTATCGTCTTGTAGGTTAACTTCAGTAGTATATTGATGCTCTGCGATTCCATTATTCCTTTGTCTGTGTTTCTGCTGCTATCCTTTATCACTGTCATTGTCCATCGACTTGGCTGGAAGTTCATATGCTGAACCTCATTCATTTGACTGTCCATTTCATAATGAATGATGGCCCTATTGCTGCAAGCACCGAGGGAGCTCACAAAGGTCCTGGCATGGCCAGTATTTGAACCGGCGTCCAAGGAACCGTGGATAGGGCCATTCGGCCATTAGTCGACCTAAATATAACATAATTATTGGTCAAAATTCTGACGAAGAACAAAATTATTAACTTTGTTACCTTTGAGAATGAATTATTCCAATTTAAGGCCAACACCAAAATAAAAACATAAAAAATGGCTCTAACGATAGGTTTCATAAGATGAAGAGGATGTTAGAAATTTATTGAATTCAGAATTCTTAGAAATAAAAATAAAGATTAAAAAATGTGAAAATGATCCTGATTTAGTAAGAAGTATTGTTATGTGTATGAGTTTAATGTCATATTCTGAAATGTTGACTTTTTATTTAATAAAAATGTTCTTTGTTTAAAAAAAACTTTTTACGAATAAACAAAGTAATTTTGTGAAAAGCAATAAAATAATCAATGAAAAGAAATATTTTCAAAATTATATAACATTAAATTTGTTTTAATACAAATGTAGAGATATTTTTCATCAATAATGCAAGTGTAAAGAAAAAAAAACCGTCAGCATAGATACGGTTATTAATGGTAGTAATAGCTCAAATTATAATTGAATACAGTAATTACCTTGTTACATTAGAATTAAAATCGGTATCGGTGCTGTTTATCTAAATTATCATTAGGAGTGCATAATAATATATGTGTATGACCGGTTCTTGATGAGAATCTGCTGGAAGAACGTGAGAAAAGCAATCATGCGTACGAAGGTCATTTACCAGACATATATCACAAAGAAAATAAGTTATCTTCATCCATAAAGTATATAACCAAAACTATAATTTAACTCTTTGTATATAAAATGTTATACACAACAATCGTTTATTAATAATTCCTTAATAATAATTATAGGTAAAATCTATACAATAATTTCAATCCAATTTTATTTACAGATATTTGAAAATGTTGTATTTCAATGATAAAGATCTAAATTTATTTACACCTAATTTCAATTAAAAAGTAGGCTAATAAAAAACACCAAGTTTTTTTAATCTAGATTAAATTATTCTCAATTTAATTGAAAATGGTAATAAAATTTCTCTAATTTCACTGAATTTCCCAATATTTTTTTATATCAGAATAATGTCGCATATAAATTAACGCTAACATATTTTACTACTTAAACAATTACAACGAAATATCATTATTAATTACCACTATCGATACTTTTGACAATAAAAAAAATAATGGCAATACAATAATTAAAAAATGTTGATAACACAGCTAAAGTAAGTATAAAAAGGTTAGATCGCTTGCAGAAGTAACCACAACTTCAACATGAAATTTGTAGCAATCTTCTTCGTAGTCTTCGCTACAATCTTCGCCTTGTCCGAAGCACGACAAGTACAAAGTCTTGGGTAAATATTAGTTATTAATAATATTATACATTGATTTATTTGTATCCTTTAATATTTTAGAGATGTGGGCTTCAATCGTGGAATATCTAGTATTACTGGTATCATAGAAGCCATAGCTGGAAGCGGCAGCGATGCCATTCTCAACATTCTTGTGGATCTTGTGCGAAGATTTATTATAAAATTATTTAATCCATAATTTTATCCATAAACAACCAAAATAAAATAAATATTTTAAAAATTTATATATTTTCCATAATTATTTGTTTCCTCTTCAAATATCCCATTTTTAGATAATTAACTTAATTAATAATGATAATATTATTGAAACAGTTAAACATAGATAAATAACCAATAATAAGATGTATTTAAATCATTATAATAAAAAAAGGAACGCTCCTTTAATTAATATTTATTATATTTTAATTTTTTTTAAGTGATTTTAAAGATTTTATAATGAAAATATGTCAAATAATTATGTTTTAATTAACTTATTTTTAAAAGCAAAAAAAGCCAATTTCACAAGAACAAATCATATGTTTTCCATGAAATCTTTGATTATTAGGTTTCATTTATAGTTGAGAAGTAAATATATTTCAAACAAATTTATTATTTAGTATAATTTCATTATGAAAATGAATAAGTAATGTGCTTAGTCATTCATAAACCAGTTTTAAACCATATTTTAACACTTTTAGGTAATTAAAATTCTTAAAAACCAGTTTTCAGACTCATTCATTTCTGTATTTAGTATTAATGTCAGGAAATCTGTCGCACAAACACATAAATGGAAGCTTTTGAATCACATACATTTTAAATTAATGAAATATGTTCTTTCTCATAAATTTTAATACTATAATTATTTTCAAACGATATGAATTAATCTCTCATATGTCTTTTATTGCTATATATAAAAAGCAGACACTTATATAACATAAATTAAGTATTATTTATAAATTTATTTACAATTTGTTCCGTTTTGGCTCAAAGAAAACTACCAAAAGTCTTAATTTGAGTATTTAAAAACAATAACAATTAATCATATATAACAATAAATTGTGTGCCTGTCTCAACAATTAATATTTCAATTATTATTAATAACTATAATGTGTTTTCAATTTAGAAACGTGTAAACAATAATTCGAATCATTGTTTCCAGGACATAAAAAAAAAACAAAGGTTAATTAAAGTTAAAAAATGGTATAAATAGGAGTGAGTTTTTGCGGCATAAGCTATAGTTTAGTACATTGGAAACAATGTATAAAAAAGGATTTCTGTTGATAACTGTGCTTTTCGTTGGAGTAGCTCTGATTTCCGCTAAACACACGTAAGTAACTACGGATAATAGTTAAATTTTGAAAAAATAAACATTGCAATTTCAGGAAAGATGACGCCGGTGATATACAAAACGATGTGCAGAGATTTGTGAACGAAATTTTAGAGAAAAATCCAGATGCTGTGGTTCAGGCTGATATATTGATAAAAAGCGAAGACGGCGATATGAGACGATTGAATTTGAG